TACGCCCCCAGGACCTTCATATGCCGATCCATTTCTCTCTCCCCACCTCTACGCCGATTCCCCACACTCATCCTTCCCATCCATACCTACATATCCTCCTTCCCAATCCACATCTTTCCATCTCTTTCCTTCTTCCTCTAATACAGCCTACGATCCTGAATACCTCCCTCGTCGTCGTAGCCATCATCGTTCTCATTCCCATTCTCGTCACTCTCGAGATCACGATCATAATTCTCATAGATCGAGAAATAGTGTTAGACATAGAGATGAAAGTGGTTTCGGAGGAACACCTTTCACGAGTAGTTGGGGGCATGATCATCTTACTATGGCGGGAATTGGGGGCGCGGCTTTGGGAATTTTGACTTTGTTGAATGAGGCTGCTGATGCACTTTAGAGGTGAGGTTAGGGGTTGTTGGTAGGGGTGTTCTACTTGGGGGAGAGGAGGGGGGGAGGTGAGGTGATGGTATGGAATCGAGGAATGAATGAATGATATGGAGAAAATGATGAAATGAAAAGATGATAACATGACATGACATGAATGAGTTTATGACTGGGAGATTAGGCTGGAACTGGGATGGAAACGGAGTCTAAGGAATGGATTTGACGGATTGATGATTGACGATTGATGATTGAACAACACCTTCAAAACTACGAGTTGTATCAACATCATCGAATATACCATATACCTTTTTTATTCCTGGTTTTTTTTTTTAATTTTCTTCCCTAGGGTTATTATTTCATATTTCAGTAACCAAAAATTTTATCGATACCTTTATGAATGATACGGATATTATGCATTTATTTATCGCCCTGGTTTTTAATGAATGAATGAATGAGCTTTGCTGTTTCTTTTGTGGTGGTTGGATTTCTAGTGGTTTCATATATACATATCTATTTATCGACCTGCCTTGATATCATCGAATTCCCTGATCATGAAGTAAATAATAGATGAGAGTACAAAGTAAGCTTTACCTAGGTAGATAGATAATTTTAACTGAATGAATGATTTCTATGCTTATATAAGAATAGGTATCTATCTCATTTACACCATTTACCTCGCCATCATACTATGATCTTAAATTCACATAAGTCTTACATTATAAGACCCTACATATATTCAAACCCCATCAAAACTACAACACATTTCATTCATCACCTTGAAAATTAACAAAAATATCGATGTACTTATAGCATCATTTTTCACTCTACATCTTCCTCCTGAAAATTTATACTTAATTATACTCTTGTAAAGTACTTGGTAGACTCAACAACGCGACGATTATAAACATCAACATTGACATGAACATTAAGGTTAGGTTAACCGAGCATTCATTTTGTTTAGCTCTTGACTTTTAAATTTTCAAATAATGTACAGAGTAATATAAGATCTTGCAGATATGACGGCTTCTTATGCATGAAGATATATATTAAAGAATACTCGAGAAGGTGGGATATTCCCGCGTTTTGTAGAAATAGTAAGGTTAGGTGGACGAGTCAATCAGGGATTTTCCTAGATTTTGCAATTGAGTGGATTGTGGATATAAATCTTAGATATCTTAGATATCTATATGTTGACCTCCTGGGATCTTGGCAGCATATGCATATATATTGCATGATGCATATAAGGAGCAAACAAAACTCAACTTTTAATTCATTCTTTCCTTTTTGGTAAACTGTTTGTTTGCTTTCAATATTTTGATTTCAAAGCACTTTAATTCCGAAGGCTGAATACCTAACCCTATTCCTTCATTTTTTGAACATATACTCGCAGCTTAACTGCTTAGCTAGAGAATCAATCAATTCAATCTGATGCTCTTTCTGGTCTCAAGAAACCCAACACTTTCCATATCTAGGATCTAGGATGTGAGTGTTGATCTGGGTTTTGGAGAATAAAATAAATTACAATCGGGAAGGATAGTACTATAGTAGTTAGATAACGGGTTGAAATTTTGCTTATAAGTATGTATTTATGAGGTGATTTGGCCATGATTCTAGTACAATTAATACCTACCAGGTAGGTACCTAGTTACTGGAAGGAACCTCTTCGGAAATCTCGGAGCATAAGTATAACCTTAAGCTTACATGGTTGATGGATGATATGTATAAGATCTTACCAGGTTTGCGGATATCAATGGAACAATTGGAATGAAGATGGATTTGTTAAATTAATCTTACAATTCCTTATAGATTATGTATTATGTATTAATATGTATACAGTGTGTGTTGTACAAATTATATTGGGATTTGTATAGGTATGTATGTACTATGTACTATGTAGTTATTAGATTTTATATTGGATTTGAGAGTTGAGAGTTGAGTATTTAACTTTTATCTGGTTTACTACCAAGGTTAAGGTTACTACTGGTGGTTTTTTATTTCTCCTTGATTGATTCTTGCGGATGTATACGAGTAAAGAAGAACTGAATCGATATTGAGGACATTGTTCATTGCTGTAGTGTATGAGAGGATTTATTTGTTTATTGATCGATAATTCATATCAAGAAGGAATTTGCGGTGGTGATAACTTAGCTTTTCTGGAAGCGAAGGAGACGGTTTTTGCGTGAAGTGCAAGACTGACACCGAGAATTTTTGCATCATTTTTTCTGTTGGAGATTTGGGAAGCTTTGGGTAAATCGACACTTTCAGGCTTGCGGTATAAGGGCAGAGATTGAAGAAGGGTTGAGTGAGGTTCACCAGTTGAGAAGAAATAATCCGGATTTCCTACAAATGGGGATGCAGTAAAGGATCATCGATTCTCATACCAAAGAGATATCCCAAGCTCTCGAGCGGCTCAAAACCTGAATTATTCCCGACCACGAATCACGAAGCAGCAAATATCATCATTCGATCTAAGCCAAAAAAAAATGTGTATCTACACCCTAACCCACCACACCTGTCCTCACACTTCTCTCCTACTACAAGAAAGATGTTCCGAATCACTGAGAAGAAGAAAGAGTGTAGGGGGTGGAAATTATGAGAGTCCCCCTTGTAAATTTGACAGGGGACGATTTGAGAGATGGAAGAGGGAAGGGGAGGAAGAGAGGAGAGATCAGATGGTTGAAAAGGAGAAGAGAATTGGAAGTGGAAAGGATGAGAGAACTAATAGGAGAGGGATGGAGGAGAAGGATGATGTAGAGAATGAAAGGAAGAGAGGAAGAAGCAAAATGGGAATTCAAAGTGAGTTTAGAGAGAAGTGGGCGGAAGGTATGTGTGTTAAGTGTAAAGCGGAGAGGGAAGGGAATAGGGTGGTGAGTTATTTTTTTTCTCCTGCATTCTTGAGAGACAGAGGTGAAGATGGATGCATCAAGTGTTGAATTTGAGAAACCCCATTTCTCTTAAGAAGGCACAGTTCTCAGAAATAACTGTCTCATTACTTATATAAGTCAAAACGGAAGGAACGAATGAGCTAACCTCAAAAATAGTTAGCGAAAAAATCTTCCTTCGCGGAAATAGTTAGGAATCTTCTAAGTATAGATCGAGAACTGCAGATGCAGAGATTGAGTGTGCATTCGACAAGCGGAAGGGAAAAGTTGGGTGTTTCACCTGTTTCTGTGGTTGGGAAAAGGAGGGAACGGCCGAGGTGATTGAGGTTTGATGGGATGGGCCATGTAGAATTGGGACTTGAGGGTTCGAGGGATCCAATGATAGATTGGTCGCTATGGTTTCTTTCGAGTTTGACAGCAGATATGATTGTCACTCGAGTATGAGAAACTGCGGCTCATCATTCCAACCAGTCTCGAACATTCAACTGTTGGTTGGACTATAAAAGAGGCATGATGTTGTCATCAATAGAAGTATGGATGGACGATTGAACGTACGATATGAAGATTGGAGGGAAATTAATGATAAAGATGTAGTAAATAGATTGGACCGGAGATTAATTCATAATATAGACTCAGCGGCGGAAAGTGGGAATATCTTCAGATACCTGTAATGTTGGTTGAAGAGTAGCAAGCATGAGATATGATAGATTACACAATATGATTTCGGCTGATGGATACATGAAGTCTGATTCACAATGAGTTACGGATATTAAATGAAAGAAGATTTAGGGCCCACATTTACCTCGCTTTCTGTATATTGAGTATGTGGTGTTTGTTCATCGGATATAGAGATATCTACATACGTCACTGTCATAAAATTTCGATGAAGGTGTATAATCTAGCAATTCATTTCTTGAGCTTGTCCTTTCTCTTCATTTTCTTCTGTCGAGTTCATATTCGATACTTTACCTAATGTCTAAGTTTATCTGATAAAATACACCCTTAATCTTCAGATACAACCGGACCGGTACAATAAAACCTTAATCTGCAAACACAATAGATAAAACACCACTAAAATCTAAAGTTCACCCCCATAACAAACAAATACATCTACACAGCTACATCCACTGCCCACATTCCCTCTTACCATACACACCTATTACCATTTGCCTCTGCGTCAAAAACAGACAAAAGAATCTGTTCTTGGGATATAACACGATTTAAAAAGGGAGTAAAGTGTAGTGTGATCTCAGGTTGGAAATCCAGATTGTTCTAGTTTATATAACGTGGTTTATCAGCGAGTCGCCACTTTTTCACTTATTCAACCACTTTAAACTTATTTTAATCAACAATTATTGAATCAATTGATTTAAACTATTAAGAATCTAATAATATAGGGTCTATTATATTATTAGAACAAGTTCTTGAATTGTGACCAGTCTTTCCACATTTACTACAGCATCGATTAGTAGATGATTCCCCATTGGAATTTCCCCTATTTTGACGCTCGTCGCGTCGAATCTGAATATCCACCTCTTGTTGTGATATTATATCTATAGCTTCCTGACCAGTAAGTACTCCTCCTTGACGTAATTGAGTTTTTTTAACGTGTCGACGTTTGCTTAATGCCTCATTTGCCTTCCGAAGCATACGAATCTCTGCACTTAAGAGTGTATTCTCATGAGCTAGTCGTTCTGTACCCTTAGCTAATGCAACTACAGTTTCGAATATAGGTGTAGGAGAGCTTGATTGATGTCGAGCAATTCGAGATTTCACTAAAGTTGATTGTAAAAGAGCTTCAGTTGGATTGTGAGGTGTTTGAGAGACCCAAGAGTTGGCAGATTCCAAAAGGATCGATGGAGGGGTAGGTGTGCGAATTCGAATATCTAATTTCGAAAGCACAGCTTGAGGATCAAATGGTATTAGTCCTGCTCCTCGAAAGCCAGCTTTCATATTCTGAATTGTAATCGATTGTTGATATGCAGCTTTGAAAGCTATAAAGAATTCAACCTTAGAAATATGATTGATATATGCCTTGATAAACTCATCAACTTGACAACTATATGAACGTTTGAGTACGCTAAAACATCCAACATCAAGTGGTTGAGTTAAATGACTTGAATGCGATGGTAACTTTACACATATAATGTCATTTGACTTGCAATATGATTGGAAAGGTATTGATTCATGACTTTCATGCCCATCCAATACTAACATTCGATATTTGCCCTTTCTTCGTTGACTAGTATATTTATCGAAGTGCTTTAACCATTCTAAACCTGTCTCATTATTCGTCCATCCATTAGAAGTAGGTTTAATAGCCCAATCCGCAGGAAAATCGGTTTCGGTATACCAATTGGAAAGATGAACTTGTCCTTGAACTATCAGAAATGGAGGTATAGTTTCACCCTCTCCATTACCACATATAATTGCCGTAGCCCATTCTCGATTGCCTGGTTGTATTGCCTTGTTTCTGCCATTTCTTTCAGAACTAGTTACAACCATTCCAGGGCATATTATACCCATCATAAAGCCGGTTTCGTCGAAGTTGTAGAAATCGCAATCTTGAATACCATATTTCGCCCGCATATTCGATACCAATCCAAACCACTCTTCAATAAGCTTGGGATCTTCGCAGAGAGCTCTTTGAAAGTCATAAACACGACTAAAACGCGTCTTTAATTTTGTACAACGCTTTACGAATCGATGAGCCCAGAGCTTTCCAACTCTCTTCGCACCTCTTGATTCGAGAATATAATTCGCCATATCTTCTACACCACTTAATTTAGGTGCAAATCCTCTTTCATCCATATCGATAATATACTGAATAAGCACCTCTTCTTCTTTTTCAGTCAAATTAAGATTATTTGCTCGAGTTTCCAGTCTGTGAATTCGACCGCCCATTCTATCTCGTAATGTAGTTCGAGGGACTTTGTAGATTTTCGCAGCCTTTCCAACTGTAAGATTTTTTGATTTTTGAATAGCTTCAATAGCTAAGATTATTCTGGCCTCTTTTGATTGTATTTCCATAATAATTCGTTGAAATATCGCGTCTTGAAATTGAATGATAAAAGATATTGAAAAAGTGGCGACTCGCTGATAGTGGCGACTCGCTGATAAACCACGTTATATAAAACCTAATAAACGTTCTCCCCTAAATGATATTTTTCAATCATAAACCTGATATACATATCTTTCTGTCAAAATGTAGTGTATAGGAAGTATATTGACCTCAAAATTTTACGAGACCGAGTGCTTGAACCGATTAATAAATGTTAAAACCATGAATGAGGGTCTTACTATCGTGGTATAGATAATAAGTGAGGGTATAGATTTTTCTCTGATAAGAAAAATGGACTCATTAAAAAAGTATCCTGTATTAAAACTAAATGGTATCTCAATAACTAGATACTTTAAATAGTGTAATATGGTAAAAATCTCGCATGTAATATGTTGATTTCAAATTCCATCCTGGCCTGTCCTTTCCTTTCCGTGATCTGCCCGTGTCATGATGTCGTTATATCGTGATTAGATGTGCATAGCTGGGCTGGTTAATGATAAATATTCTTCCTGTTCGTTTGACCAGTTTGATGAGTCTCCTACGTGGACTTGTCTCCCAGTTACCTAATATAGACGCCTGCAAGTTTCCTTTTCTGGATATCGTTTCCACGATATCTAATCCAAGAAGTACACTCTCGATCTATTTTGATCGAAAATGTTCGAATGTCCCGGTGATTTATCGACCAAGAAAACTTCGTACATATCTCCCAATACCAGCACCAGTAAAATCCAATACCAACTCCGTCCGCACGCCAAAAACAAAAGAAACATCTAGCTAAGCGAGTGTAAAATTATGAGTCAAATACAGCATCACTGACTCACACCCCATCCCTAGCCATCCTTCTTCCTCTCAAACACCAAGCCATTCCCCTCTCCCTCCAGCACACCCCCTCTCTCCTTAACATGCTCCCAATTCTTATCCCCACTCTCCCCCCTACAAACAAAATCAAACCCATCCCTTACATCCAACCTTTCCGGTTTCGCTCCCAAAATCCTCGAAATCTGCACTTCTCCCCATCTCCTCCTCGCTCTCTGCACCCTCATCCTAACACCCTTTCCCAATCCCCTAAAAAATACCCTTATTTGAAAATAATTCACCATGCCTTTCTTCCTCTGCACCGCTAATTTAGCTTTCTTCGTCTTTGCTTTAAATTTCTTAATTGTTTTTCTATTTTGCTTCTCTTTAGCTTTTTGCTCTCGTTTTTCCTTTTTTTCGCGCTTGCGAAGCGCGGAGTTTAGTTTGCGGGCTTCGCGTTTCTTTCTGTGGCGGATCTGGAAGGAGGTGAGTTTTTGGGTGAAGTGCGGGATAGGGTTTTCTGTGGAAGGTGGATTGGGATGAGTGGGATAGGCGTCGCCGGTTTTACCAATGTCGTAGATGATGCCGCCGTAGATTCCTTCTCGTACTAGGTGTTCGGTTAATGCGATACTTTCTTGGCTTAGAGTGCTGATGCGAGGATTGGGCGGTGGAATAGCTGGTAGTTTAGCATCGAGGCGTGGATTATTTTTGGGAGATGGACTAGCTTTAAGGGGCTGACTGGCGTTGATGAATGGACTAGCTTTAAGGGATGAATGAGCTTTTAGCGACGGACTAGCTACATGTGAAATAATGCTAGATGCCTGTGTCGAAATGGTGTCATTGCGACTGTGTGAGTATGTGCCCTGAGTAGCACTACTGGGATTGGTACTGACTGTATTGGAGCGGAAAAGGCAGGCTGGAGGGGTATGTGGTGGTGAAGGGATGCTGAAAATACGCGAAACTGTAGGAGGTGTAATAGCGCTATTGTGAGGAGAGGATTCGGGGGTGTAGGTAGAGTATATGGATGATTTGGCTGTAGCTGGTTGTTGGTAGGAGATTGGGGAATGTGAAATGTTCGGTTCAGAATTGGAATTCCTAGTTGGGGTTGCGGGGATCGCGGAGGCAATTTGAGGTGGTAGAGAGATTGGTGATGGAGTTGAGAAGATTTGGGGGAGATCCAGAGTATAAGGCGGAAGCTTTATTGAACTTTTGGGCGTAGTTGGAGATACAGTAGTTGTTGAGGTCGGTACGAGAGAAGTTACACCCTCCGGCGGAGATTTTGTAATCGCTGTTGGCGGTACGAAAGAAGTAATATCGACCACAATTGGAGAATTGCTTCCACTAGAACCGCGATCTTGAGCTGGTGGAGTACCGACATGAGGCATTTCGTTCAAGCACAGTTGACTGATGTGGCGGTATGGACGATCCATTGGTGGTGGCGAGCGGACTGAACGAATTCTTGGAGATGGTGATTGACTATTGGCTAGCGTGTAAAGTCTTCTTGGAATTGTATTTTCGTTCTCGTTAGCTGGTAAGTAGATTGGACTGGCGTTTCTCCGACGAGACTTTTGTCGATTTAAGGTTGGTGAGTCGCCTAGTTTTCTGGAGATATTCGCAGGTGGATGTCTTGAAATTCTCCTCGTGCGTATCGTATCAGATCTCAATCTGCCAAGTTGTTGATCTTCTACTGGACTTCCAATACGTCCCGGCTCTGAAGCCAGTCGCAGATGTTTTTTGACATCTTCTTCACCTCCATTTCCAAGTCCATTCTTAACATCTCGGTACAGATTACTAGGCTGGACTTGTGGCTTCATCCTCAAAGGTCGAACTCCCGCTATTCTATCAGAGTTTGTGTATTTCATTATCGTCGCCTTGGCATGTACTGGCATCTTACCATCAGCTTTACCGTTCTTCTCTTTCACTCCATCTGCCGCCGTATACACATCGTCAAATTGCAGATTAGTGCTCGGTCTCGAACCTCCTTCTATGTCGAGCTTGGGTCTCTTGATGTATCTGTCGTATTGAGCGTCGTATATCAGGTTGGAAAACCGAGAATTCAATTGAACTCCATAAAGTTCTCTTATTGAGGGGGTTGCTGAGATGGAGTGAATATTAATAGCGTCAATTCCACCACAATCACTTGATTTAATTCCATTGTTGCTAGTGATTAACGTCTCCGCTTCATTATCGTGGATTGAACCAAGCGGGTCGTTTGAATAGGAGTCGACGGTTATTGAAGATGATGGATATTCAAGATCTTGAATCATTTGTGACATTGGAGATAACCGGTGGCTTGTAGGAAGCAGGAGTCCAAATGACGTGGTCCCCTTGCTTGACACCATAGCTGAAGGAACAGAGGAAGTCAGTGAGGGGGGTTGTTCATCTTCACACTCATCAGTGTTATACCGGACAGCCATTTGCACCGGTACCGATGGTCCGGCATTTTTGAATTTTTCTTGAATAGATTCGATGGACTCGGTGGATTCATCGATCGGGGGCAGTGGTTGAATATCATATTTGGCGGGCTTTCTGTAAGACTTGGGGTGGCTTGGAACTTGACAAGGAGAGGATGCATCCTCCGTTGCTTCCACAGATTTCTCCGAATTCATGAATTCCAAGGTAAAGGCATAGAATGTATGACATTCCAGATAGAACCTTGGCTCATGCTCGATAGATACAGAGTACAGGCGATTCCAAGTTGGAAACTGTTCTTCTGGGCGCAATTTATGATGTCTGATTACATCGCAGAAGAAGGATTCATCGTCGAAATAGAGCGGATTGGAGATTGGCCGAACTCTCCTCTTGGGTTGCGTTTGTGGGATTAAATCAGACTTTCCCATTTCAGTTGACTTATTAGAAATCTGTTCCCTGAGGGTGAGGGTAGAGATGGCAGATCTTGGGAGTCAACCAGCTGCCTTGGTAGTTGTTTGTGTGGCTTCCGGGGCTCTGTGATCAAAGAGGTTAGGTTTCAACGTTTTCAGCAAGGTGGTAAGATGCTTACAGAGTAGCTAAAATAGTTCAGGTCGCACCGCTCATCTTGTAAGTTAAGATCGGTTTGGAATGAAGTAATCAAGGCACGGAAGGTGACTTTTACTCTCTCGTGCCTCCATATCTTTGTAGCTACGAAGGCAAATGATGCGACCGAGCACCTGGCCGTTTCAACTGTGAATCACCTCACACGAGAAATTCACCGTAACTATCGCATCATCTTCTGAGGATGAGATGAAGGCCGATACCGCAGCTAAAACTGTATAGAGCAAAAATAAAATGAACATAGCACAAAAATCGAGAGTAATTGGAGATTATGATAGAGTGTTCCACATAGAAAGGGTTCAGTTTTGAGGTTGAAAGTGGTAAAGAAATCACAAAGTAGAAAGGGGAAGCGAGGTGATCTGTGTCATTTAGATATTGTTCTTGAGTCCAGCGCCAATTATTAAAGGCTGAAGTGAACCAATCTAGATGTATATTGTCTTCACCACCAGTCTATCTGCATATCTGCAAATCTCAGATCAAATCCAAACTCGAAAATGCCGCAGTGTTTAACTTTTGTTTACTCCTCCTTTCAAAGCAATGCCTCGTACTTTTTGGCGCAAGCGTCAACCTTGCTCAACAACACCGCTTTTCTCTCATCATCACACCAACTTCCTTCAATCGCGCTGGTTGCAATATATTTCCATTCCTTTAAATTTAAGCCAAATGCTTCTTGAACGGCAAGATAATTATCCAAAATGTAACCACCAAAGTAAGCTGGATCGTCGCTGTTGATGCTGAATTTAATTCCTCCATCCAAGAACTTTCGAATTGGTAATTGTCCAACATTCTCAACACACCTCAAGCGAACGTTACTGAGTGGGCAAACTGTCAACATTGTCCCCTGCTCCGCTACTCGCTTTAACAAATTTTCATCTTCAGCCAACCTAATTCCATGATCAATTCTTTCAACTTTGCAGATGTCGAGTGCTCTGGAAATGTAAGAAGTGTCACCTTCCTCACCAGCGTGAGCGGTTCGATGAATCCCCTTGGTTTCTGCAGATTCATAAATCTCTCTGAAAATTTCTGGTGGGAAACCGACCTCACTGCTATCAAGGCCAATAGCAGCTACAGTCCCGTTTGAAAAGTGACCCAACGAAACCGCTTCCTGATATGTAGTTTTTGCATCCTCAGCCGACAAGTGTCGCAAAAAGCATAGAATGAGTTTTGAGGTGATACCAAAATCCTTCTCAGCGCGCTTTAGTCCAGCCGAAAGACCCTCAACAACAGTGTTGTATGCAATTCCACGTTCAGTGTGTGCTTGTGGATCGAAGAAAATTTCAGCATGGTGAACACCGTCGCGATTTGCTTTTGTGAGATATTCATAGGCCAAGCTTTCATAGTCGGCAGGGTTTATTAACACTGACATGCCAATGTAATAGTAATGGAGGAAATCGTTGAGAGAAGTAAACCGTTCGTAGCGAGACTCGAGTTCTTGGGGAGATTTGAAAGAGGCATCAGCCGCAGAGTCGGGAAGGGCGATGTTGTTTGTCTTTGCCAATTCGAACAGCAGAGCTGGAGACAGAGACCCCTCGATATGAATGTGATGCTCACATTTTGGGAGCTCCTTGAGGAACTGCTTCATATTTTCACCACACATTTTGATTTATTGTATTGAAAAGATTTTGTGTGAAGGACTCGAGATTGCAAAGTAAATGTATTACTCCGTATGCTTCGATTGGCCCTGTTCGAGCTGCAATAATCTGTTTGTAATCTTGAAGAAATACCTCTGTCAAAAACCGTTGTTCTTAAATGAAAACGAAACGACGTCAATAGTAACTGCTTGATTCTTCTATTGTAGAATAATGAGTGAATATCAACCTTGATGGAGAGTAATGGTTACAATTCACAAAAATCACCCACCGAGAAGCACATTTAGTGAGAGAGAAAAATCTCGGACCTACAGCCACTAGTATCTGTCAGGTGTTTGAGTAAAGATATGAAAGTTATAGTACGATATTACTTTACCACTGGTTACCTTTGTGCTATTTTCATTTTTTTTTGGCCTGTAATGTCAAAGATTGACAGCACGAACATATGGTCTAATCACGAAGATTGAAGATGTATGGTAATAGTTATTGGAGTTTTATTGAAAAGGTGGTGATGACCGATAAATGGCAGAAAGTTTTCACCCTATTTTTGCGGGCGGTCAAGTAAAAAATCCGACATATTTATTCTTCTAGCCAATCCTTCCAGAGTTGATAGAGGTTGATTGAATTTCATAGGTTATCATGTTCTGTGGTGGAGTCTTCAGACGCAAGAACTTTCCAAAGACTGCACAAGAACCAATCGCTACACGGCGAAATCCGGGAAAAGTAAAAGTACGCCATACGGAGTTGCCATTTAAGTTATTAACCTTACGGAGTACACTTATATTAGATTACTTCGATCAGAAAATTTTGGAAAAATATTCTACCACGTCCCCATTTTTTTCGGCTCCCGAGTTCCTTTATCTGTACAAAACTTCAAGTATCAAGTCCAGAGTCCCAACTACTGAGAGCTTGATGGTCGCCAGAAAAGTAGGTCTAGCACACTATTGATACCACATATTGATACCACATTCTGCAAGCAGTAATGCACATTGGGAGGACCACTGACTACTCAGGCATTGTCCCCAATATTCGACCAACCATTGTTTCTTTTATCCAAGTGAAGTTATGAAGTGAGTTCTGACATGGGATTCGACCCATCCTAGATGAAGGTAACTGATTCATTGAGGATCCACAAATTCGCCCTCTTGCCTTGGTGTTACTGTCACCTCGTCGGGTCTTGAACGTTATCGAATTTGCACGAACGGCGCTTCCCTTATTTTTCCCTTGTACCTTCGACCTTACCCTAGTCATCAACTGTCAATCTGTCACCCAAAAATGTTACTCCGGGGTTGTTTGTGGACTCCTTTGATATACGAGACTTCAAATATCGATGTCGCTATGGTGGAGCGTTACAAAGTGTTTCATTGTGCTCCGGAGCAGCGGATACCTACTTAATCTTGTCTAACACCGGGGAAAGACTTTCGGTAGCCTTGAGAATGTTTCTATACATGATCTCAGGAAGGGGAAAGCCCCAGTCTTTGCACCCTTGCACAAAACTTTCCGATCCTTGGGTACATCGCCAGCATTTCAACGTGGTTAAATAGCAAAACTGCAAGGTGATAAGGACTTTTCGGGTCGTCCACCGAACTATTCTTGGAGCAATGTTTACCAATGTTTTTTGATCGTTACAAGGAAATCTATTTGCTGTTTATTCGAGGTTCCAGTTACACGCATTTACGTTTTCTTACCGCTTGCCGTCGCAAACTTACAGCAAGCATTTATGGTGGACATCATGAGGTGTGCGACTACAGCGGAACTCGGAGAATTTCCCGGAATCAAACTGTGTCCCGCCACAGAGTACACGCACGCACGCACTCACCCTCCTAGCATCTACTTTGATTTGCTCCATAGCATTCTTAAAATTCAAGATCATTATGAAGCATAGTGGATCACCGAGGATGCATCGCTCCGTTGGGGAGAATTCGGAGAACTACCCATGCTACTCACTACCCTAGGACCTAGGTATCCAAAAATGCCCCGTTCAACATAAAAAGGCAAGCAAAGATCTACAGTTAATAATATTGGACCAGCTTCGTTCCTGGCGGTTGGTTCCATAACAAAGTATGTGATGATCGAATTAGGAGGCACACGATATTCGTTAGTTTCTATCACACGTTTCAGAATTCAACTATACCCACTAACACACCCTAACATTCGGAATTGATTTTTTCCAAACCAATTTAATATATCCCAGCTGGGCCAGAGCTTCATATTTTCTCAAGGCATAATTCAGCAGATATCTTGAAACCTAGGAAATTAGAAGTTTGTCTGCTAATGATTATAGTATTATAACTATTTTGTATCTATATTCATAACCATCCAGGAGTCATTTTACGCCAAGAGAAGACGAAGAGTTCTGGAAACCAAGTAACCGGAAAATGAAAAATTCATGATCTGCATCCATGTTAAATATCATCATCACATCAATGATGTTTTTTTTACCGGCATTCCACGGTAGTGGATAGCGTAGATACTAAACTAGCCGATGTTTTTCTATATCAGATTGCAAGCCTTGGAAAACAAAAGAAACATTAAGTCCGAACCACATCTTTTCGGGAGTAATCTGGCATCTATGGACGTGATATCAATTGGATACGACGCCAAAATTGTCCAACGAGGGCTCGTCACAGAAGGGAACGAGTCTCGACTTCACAGTCTAAACGCTATGCTCGAATGGTTAACAAGCCTAAATATACAGAATTAAAGCGCCGGAAGAGATCCCTAGATTCGGGTAGTTCCCCGATGTTAGACAGAATCACAGCCACCACAGAGCATTTTTGTCGTCATCTTCACCAAATGAACCTTGAAATTTCAACAAAATTGTATTTCCACCAGCGGACCCGGAGTGGGCGAAATGAGATAGTGCAGCGATCTCCTCGCAAATTTTGAATATTTTCTTGGCTTCTTTTTTTGATTCCACCACGAGTCCATTCCTTCACGATGATAGTCAAACTCTACATGAAGAAAGATTTAGAGACTAGGACTTTAGTTCGGAGTTATTTCCATATCGACAAAAATAGCTAGCATCTCAAACATGGCAATTATATCAAAAACTCTTTCGGTTCTGAAGAATGCCGTATGGAAATGTCATCCAGTCATTCGCGTCCAAGCATCATCATCCTTCATCTAAAATCAGCTCCCGACCTTACTTAATCGGTCATTTAGACTCGGACACTAGAAGGGCACGGTAGTTCAGTTTCTGAAGTGTACAGAACTAATTTAGTAACATTTTCGACCGCCATGCCACGGCAGCACGAACTTTATCGTTAGGACATGCAGTCCATGCTACGGGAGTAACGTCAAATGGTATCCAACGTCACCTAGGTCGCTTCCCCATGAACCGAATATAAGGGCATACATAGTAATAGTCTAGTCTACAGCGAATTCCCTTGTCAGTCAACTATCTTTTTGGTTATCAAGACTCAATATAAAACAAACATCCGCATAACCACAAGATCAAGTTCTTACAAAGTTAGGGGTCAAGCTCACATGATTCTGAGCACGAGAGTAGACCTCATATATCTCATACCGACAAATTGGGAGGCTTATCCTAGCAAACTTCTCGGATAAACATGCAACCCCTGATGCCCATCTAAGCCTTCCTAATTGACAGCTACCACTTGTGAGGCAGTGCTGAGTGCATGTATCTCTTGTGTGGATATTTGGATCCCGCTAGAATCTTGGAAACAATTCACGTCGGGCCGGCAAAATGTAACCATTCAAACAAGCATACTAGCACGCCTCAAACAACATTTTAACTTTGAAAGATGCTTTTCGTGTCGTCATTCACATCGTTCCCTACCTACACAGAAGATCATACTAAATTTTCTCTACACGCGATAGCAGACAATACCGGGGCAATGGCCATTGCTCAGCAGAAGGATTCGAGATTTATGGCTGAGAAAACCCCGCCCATCTCTATAGAGACCAGTGCGATCGTATGGACTCGTGCAGGAGTCAGGCGAGCAGCCATTTAATATCCAGCACAATCAATGCAGCAAATTGAAATTCTCCAATCCCTTTGAGCCTATAGGCCTATGAGAGGCGATGGAATCTTCAAGAATTCAAGACTGACAGCAAACTGAGCGTATTCGATGCATCATCGCAAACATACATGCCCATATCAATAAGATCCACGTACTTCCGATGCGCCCGTCGATGTAATGACGGTACCTGATTGGAATGAAAGTTGCAGACTATTAACCATCCGTCAAACTGTTACGATAACGATACCACTTCTAAGATCCTTCAGCAAAGTAGTAGACAGTTGAGCAATTGGTGTGTGCGCTTGTAAGTCGACATCACCACAGTATGAGCTATGCAACGTAAGAATGAAAGAATCAGACCGCCCACTTAACCGGCATTTCTGTCGACTATCCCCTCATTTCAATATTCATGCTCCCCACAATAATCCGCAGGTACCTCGGATGTCATGGCTCTCAACATTTGGAGTCTTGGCATCACTTTCCAAATCCCCACAGTGATAACGGGAACCTCTGGATGCCCTTCCTTTTCGGAAAGATACATCCCGCTTCGTTCTCCGAACGATCGGCTGCCCCAATAAAAGGTAAAAAGAAGCTTCGTGCAAAGTCCAAAAGATGAAACACCAATTAAGGTCTAGAGAACTCGCCATTGAAATAGACACGGATGCTTCTAGGCAGACTGAACACCTCCATGCCTTGAGACCTTTGACGCCTCGAGACAGTGCTGTTGAAGAAAAGAGATTGAAACGCCAATGCTCTTTCTTACCTTGGTTTTTCCTTTTCCAAAAAAGCTACATTCATGGGAGCCGGGTTGATAAGATTTGGATGACAAAGTGACGATGGAAGCTCCATAGGTACTATCCTCTCATGAACAGCCTTGCATACATTGTCATGCACCTCGACCATGACTGGCAACGTTGATCTTGGGAACACAACCTGCTAATCCAGACAAACCCCAGTGAATCGCTTCAAGGTACCAATGCTAACAACACACTTACAGCAAGGATATACAAAGGATGCACAAGGATAGCAGGTACCACCGCCTTATCCCATCGCTATTATTCCCAGTACCAAATGTTCTACCTCTCATACCAGGTTTGTGCCGCGTCGCCTATTAAATCTCCTATGGACACAAATCGTGCATCAGTTACCCTTAATATCATCGCGGGCCTAGACCTAGACCATTCTCGGAAAACCCAGAATCAAAGCATTGTCCACCGACATACACATCCGCCTTTGGCGTCAGGAAAATAAAGATCATCAAAAAGGAAATTCAGAAAAATCACGCACGCGTTATCCGTTATCTCACATTTGCATATTCCAAATATCGGTGTCAAATCACACGAGCTAGGAAAATCTTCAAAACTTGCAAAATTCCTAAGCTAGAGTCTTCTTTCCAAACAGTCGTACAACACAACACACACATGTATCTAATGTATCTATACATCTATATACTTGCCTAGATTCTAGACCTTACCATCTCTTGTTCTCACATCCCATCTGCTCGGCTTCTCGATTCAAGACTTACCTCGCCCTCAAAAGCATCCACCCCCAAAACATAATAGCTTCGAGTCACTGAAATTTACCCTGTCCTATCAACGGCCCGAACCTGTCGGTATCCTCTGCCGGAAGTGGATTGGAGTCCGCATATATGCAAGTAGGAACGCTTACTCACGCCACAACCCGAGAAATTCTGCAGGGAGGACATCCTTCACAAATATCAGTGGACGCCATCCATTGAACGGTGAACTAGGTGTGCAAGTCGAACAGATTCCCGGTATGTATTTTTAATTTATTTGAGAGATCTACTTCTATGTTCTGGAACGGCAACGGCCCCTCAATACCGAGCTGCCTGACAACTATCTGCTTGAATCTTGATTTACCGCTGAAGAGTTAAATCAAGCGCGCAATCAACAGTGCATATCATGTCCCGAAGTATGACAGGAACCTGCCTGCCGACCCGATTACCAAATAAGGACGAGCTCGCAAGTTTGCATCTCAATCGGGAAAGATCTTTAGATGGATTTGCCTCGTGGCCATACCCACCTTAGGATTTATCACCCTTGACGTTTGCTTCATGCAGAGCGTTCCGGTAACTACTGTTCACTGTCTCATGTCTTTAAACCCTGCCGATAAACTGCCACAAGAAACTAGACCGACGAAGTTTTGCCCATCAAAATCATGTCGCTATTCTCTAACAGAATACTTGTTCTTATTATATACATGGATGATGGCCGGGCAGCAGTGAAACTTAGGGCCTAGCGACCTCTAGCGAACCTCTTCTTTTGGATGCTTGCCGTTCCCTCTTGGCAATCAATTACTCCAGATTTCCCAATCAGCCTTAAAGCGGAAGCTCAATGCTTGCATCTCCGTCATATACCCTCCTATTCAACCACCAACCCAAGTCCATTATAATACGAAAAGCTCATATCACTCGTTCATCGGCACATTCCTTTTCCCTCTCTTAACACATTTACCGCTTAAAATGGTCATTCTCCTTTAAAGCATTTAGACTTTCCCGATATGCGACCATATACTTCAACATAATTGGCTGATATTCATTCTGTCACAGATTAATCACCTCCACCTCACGGATCAGCTGCCGACTTTTGATCTATCTAGCATTGAACGATTCAGTGGGGGAATTTCTAGCTTGTGCACACTGCAGGAGCGCGTCGGATTTTGGCAGCCCTCCACGTTGTACAATACCTTCCCCTGCGGCGCATCGCGGGTTTTCTCAGATCTCCAACACAAGAGCAGTTGAGACATTACCTGTTTCTGACTAAAACTCTTATGACTAGATTTTATAGAAATTTTGTGGATATTTGCCATCGATAGTTTCTGATTATTATTCACTATTTCATCACAATACTTTATAGGCCGGTACATACCGACCAAGCGATGAAGCTAAACCACCAATAACGACATCTTTAACAAACACATTGCCAATATCAGTATTTTCCTCTCATAGATACATCGAATTGACCTCCAGTCACTATATTGGTTTAAAGAGACAGATTTCGCAAGCTGGAACAATGGCGGATCCACTTCATAATTCATATCCCAGATCACCGATACCTTCTACATCATCTTATGATTCATCTTCGGTATCTTCTGCGACCTCTCCAAGGCCGCAAGGCTTATACGAAGGAGGATTGATGGGAGCTTCACCACGGCCACTTAGCGGAAACATTCCTCATCCTCAGCACATATCTATGACATCAGGGCTTCCGCCACCGGGACAAAGTCCCTTCCATCACAGTTACAGCTCCGCTACTACCTCACCAGGCGGAATAGGAATGGAATCCGTGGCCTCAAATGGGTCGTCAAGCGGCACTCCAGGCCCATCTGTCGGACAGATGACACCGACCAACATGCAAGCGCAAAAACGAGCTTATCGACAGCGGAGAAAGGATCCCAGTTGTGATGCTTGCCGGGAGCGTAAGGTCAAATGTGATGCGACAGAAACGAGTAGCTGTTCGGAATGCTCAAGTAGGAATGTCAAATGTCAGTTCACTAAAGAGACAAATAGGCGTATGTCTTCCATCAAACAAGTTCAAGATCTGGAGAAACAGATTGCTCAAGTCAAGCGCGAAAATGGTCAATTGAGAGCTATGCTCAGTATGAGAGAAGATCAAATGGATGTCGATGGTGATGGTTTGGCCCAGACATCTGTCTATTTGCCGGAGATTGGATCGCAGCCTAAAAAAATACCAAGAGCACCTCCGCCTCACGATTTGTCGAGAGTGCAATCCAATATTGGGAACTACAGCCATGGAATCTTCAAATCTCCAGCCCTCTATCGACAAACAAAAGCACCGGCAAGCTGGGTTTCCCAGCCTCCAGAACTACCACCCAAACACCTCGCAGATCACTTATTGAGAGCGTATTATTCATCAATACATCTGGTAACACCCATACTGCATTGGCCCAATTTCCAGCGCGAATACGAAGAAGTTTATAAAAAGGGTACCTTCGAAACGTCATCCCGGACTTGGTCTGCACTATTCTTCGCAGTCGTGGCGGTTGGTGTTTTGTTTAGCACCGAGCCCAGTATTCAGAGACCTTACAAAGGCAAGGAATACATAGAAATATCTATAAGTCTATCGGATCTTTGGAACGACGAATACAGCATAGATCATGCTCGAGCAGCTCTTCTTACTAGTATCTTTCTCTACGAAATGAATCTTAAGTCGGCAGCATGGACATGGCTAGGATCAGCTGTTCGTATTGGTCAAGATTTGGGGTTCCATAGCGAGACCGGACCATGGCAATTAGTCGAAGATGAAATGCGAAGAAGAGTCTGGTGGGGAATCTACATTTGGGATCGTCATATGTCACTCGAGCTCGGAAGACCTCTCCTGATCGATGACGCAGACTGCGATGTTATTCTCCCCAATCCCATCGATGAATTTTACTTGCATCCTAGCTACCGGTCTCCGCCAGCTCCTCAAAATGGCGCACCACCTGGTCCATCTTCAACTTTTCTACTCCCTACCATCCATATAATGCGTTCAATAGGACCACTCCTCAAAACTCTCAAATTACCCATCGTCCCCCCTTCAACAATCTCAACCTTCGACACTCATTTCACATCCTGCCTCTCACACTTTCCACCTCCCTGCCAATTCTCCTCCCTCGAACCCCTAGATCCAACTATGGTAACACCAATTATCCACCTTCTAAGCGCCCGTCTCTCACTCCATCGCCACAATCTCACCACCACTTCTCCTCCAGATTTACGCACTAGCGCTATCGAATCCTGTATTCACGATTCCCTAACCAGCGCATCAATAATCACTCGATCAGTCCCCAATTATCCACCCAATTCATTACAGACTCGTTCATGGGGCCAAACAATTAGCGCAATGATTGTCATGCATATATGGCGTTGTACATTATTTTTACTTTTCGGAGGACAATTCGAAGCAGCTATGACGTGTATTAGAGCACATTCCCATATTGGGTATTCGAGAGAGGTTAATGTGGCTTGTGGAAGATATATAGGATTTTTCTTGACGGTGTTGATTGAGAAGAAGAGGGGTTTGTATTCAGGGGAAAATGGGAGAGAAATGGGGTATTTGAGTCAAAGAGGAGGGAGATTTGAAATGGACGAGGAGGTTTTGGCGTATTTAAGTGCGGATTTGCAGGGGACCGATGACGCATGGGTTTGGCAGGGGAGAGAAGCGATGGGGATGAGAAGTCCGGCTGTTAGTGGTGTGGGTGGGTCAGGGGTACTTAGTCCAATACTTGGGAGTGGTGGAGAGAGGGACAGGGAAATGAGTGGGATGAGTGGATTGAGTGGGGGATTTTTGGTGCTGAGGGAGAAGGAAGCAATGGATTGGGGTGGGTGGGAACGAGTGCAATATTTGGTGGATGTTTTGGCTAGGGAGTCTGGTGTGTCGGGATCTGCACTTGGACCTATTCCTGGGCCTGGACATATACAAGGAAGTGCAGCATATATCCCGGAATCTCGAAGTGCGTTTGGGTTAGGATTGGGTGTAGGATCGAATGTAGGTGTAGCGCCCTTAGTAGGAGGACCAGTGGTGGCAGCCGCGCCGATAGGAATCCCGCAAACAAGCCCACCAGCAAAGCGAGACGAGCGAAATCGCGGCAACGAAAGGATGAGTATTACCAATATCATCTAGCACAGAGTGGGCGAGGATGAAAAAAAGCTCAGCGCATTCATCTTCTGATCCCTCCATCTAAACAACAAAAGGAACACACACACACATACCCAAGCAACAAGAATACCATTCCGCAATAATTACCACTATACCTAGCAATACCAATCATAAAACAGCACGAGCACGAGCACGAGCACAAACACAAGAACCTTTTCCATTGTATATAATATATTTTTCACTAACTTAAGATGTAGAGTTCCCCTATCTCTCTATCTAGTAGAAGAGGGGGGGATTAGAAATGAGGATGGGAGTTAGAGTAAGAAGAAGACAAATATGAATTGAATAATAAATAAATATATATATATATATATAAATAAATCAATATATAGGAGAATTTTTTATACTTTTAATATTTCGTTGCTATTAGTATGGTGTTTTGTGTTGATTTTTTATTGATATTTATTTTTTTAAATTTTTTGTTTTTTTTGGGTTTGGGTTTGTTTCTGTTTTGAGTTGAAATATATGTGAATGTGGATTCGAAGTACGTACAAGGAGTTGAACTAATTCTTTAGCTAGTGTCAAATAGTAATCTCTAATTTTATCTTCTCTTTTCCCTTCTAGTTCATCTAAAATCATAATTATTTATTTTAATTTTCTTTCCTGAACTACTGATCTTCAACAGAGCCTTTCCTCCTTTTCTGATCTTCAAATCCTGTCATCTTTTATCCATTCTATTCGCTTCTCCATTTCTCCTCTTCTCCCCTTCCCTCTCTACTTATTCCTCCCTAGCTCTGGGACCTATATCCAGCAGGGTTTTCTAATTCAAGTATTCCCTTCTCCCATCAATCACCTACTTACCTTTATATTTTCCACCTTTCCATCCCTTCTCCTATTTTTAATTATTCTTTCCCCTTCACTCCCCACCTGTCGTTCCAGCTTTTATTATCATAATATTATTTATAATCATCATTCTATTTCTCATTTTCTATTTCCTTTTTCAGTCCTTCCTCCCTTCTCCTCACATCCCAATAGGAAGTGAGGAAACACTAAATACGGAACAGCTAAACTGAACGCACAGCGCAGAGTGTGAGTTCTAAGAGTCGATTCTAACTTATAGAAACCCACAGCACCTACCATGGCATCTCTATGTTGGTTTTAAATACAAGGACAGAGAAAAAGTTACCTACTATTCCGTCAAGAATAAAACTCTGAGAATTTCGTGCCGAACCACAGATGCAGTCTAGATTTTTGCTAGAATACCAGCAATGTATATACAGAAAGTTTAGTTGCGCCAACCTAGAGCATAGTAATAGTGAGCACGAAAACCATTTGCAGTTGTAGATTTTTCCCAAGCATCATTTGATAGAACTGTTGCCCTTCATGTTTCTACTAGTACAGTCCTATCAAGTAAAGTAATAATGAGGCTCATGAGCATTTTCACCTCCTTCTTAACCAACGAGAAAGCTTCGAAAGTTGAACAAGTAAGGTTGGTTACGTGGTTAAAGACCGAACGAAACATTTGTCGGGACCGAAGAAATGCCGAACCTCCGACGAGACAACCAGCAACCTCAGAAAATTGATCAAAAAACAAACACACCGACAAGACTCATCAACACGATGCCTCCATGCTATCAATACAATTGAGCCTCACCCCCTTTTGAAGATCACCTGATTTGAAAACTTCATGTTTCATGTTGAAGTGACCTTAATCATCACAAACTCGTTTTTAGCATCGTGGGGAAGAAATCTTGATGAAACTCCCGAAACTTCCGAGTCTCCGGCCATACGGGTCAAGTAATACGTAAAACATTTACTCGGCTCTTTCATCACATCAATTATCATCTACTCATACTTGAACTATTTTATTTTTATATCTTTCTTCACGTCATCATGGAGTCCTCTCCACAACCTCATGATTCTACTACTGTCCCACATCCAACTCAACCACCAACACATCAAAAGATCACTCGTGGTCATTCTTGTATTCTCTGTCAACAGAGAAAAGTACGATGTGATCGACAAAAACCTAAGTGTTCAAATTGTGTTAAAGCACATGCTGAATGTATTCCCAGTACACCTGCTGCTCCACGTCGAAGAAGACGTAAGCTAAGTGAGTTAGATGTGGCTGCAAGATTGAGGAAATATGAACATTTATTGAGGGTTAATGGAATTCGGATTGAGGATGATGGTGCTGTCGATGGCGTTACTACTGGTGTTGGAAGTGCAAATGCAAGTGGCACTGATGATGCAGGTCCTGATGAATCAAGTTCTACACGCCAAGTTTTATCAAGTACCAAGAAAGGTAAAGAAGTGTCTACAGTTACCGGGACTGACAATAATGAGTATCAATCTGGGCCACACAAACATCGATGTCATCATGGTCCTCATGATTCACATGGGCATCATCCCATGGGTTGCCCTCATGGTTCTAAAGTTGGAAAAGGCCAATTGTACTCTAAGCATGGTAACTCCCGTTACATAGAAAAGTACGAGTTCTCCCAAAAAATCCCTTTGAGTTAGCATGAATTTGCTAACCGACTTTAGCACTGTTTGGGAGAATCTTAGTAATGAATTACAAGATCCAAAAGACGCATTTCAAGTATCATCAGAAGATGATGATAATAATGATAACTCCCTCTTCCCCGAAGAATCCACCATCCTTCTTGGAAACTTGATTAGTTCGAAAAGAAACCTGAGAAGCCTACATCCTCAACCCGTCACAATTTTCAGGTTATGGCAAATCTTTCTGACCAATGTGAATCCATTGATAAAACTTTTTCATGCTCCGACGGTTCAGGAGATGATCTTAGAAGCAACTTCAGATATGGATAATATTCCGAAACCTACGGAAGCTCTAATGTTCGTTATATACCTTCTTTCTATCGGCTCACTAAAAGATGATGAATGTGAGAGTACTTTCAATGAACCAAGATCCGTACTTTTATCGAGATATTCTCATGCTACACAACAAGCTCTTATCAATGTCAAATATATCAAATCCCTTAATTTGACTGCCTTACAAGCTTATTGTTTATTTCTCGTAAGTTAGCCCTACCATTCTTTGTTTCCTTTCCTTGGATGACCCAAACACCAATGTCTTTTGCCAGCACCACTGCAACAAATTGTGTCTTTTGTCACTAACTCACATCAATAGCTTGCAGCTCGTAAGCATTATGATGCTCATGCATTTTGGATCTTAACTGGTTCTGCTGTTCGAATTGGTCAAAGATTGGGTATTCATCGTGATGGATCTTCTCATAATTTATCTCCTTTCGATACAGAAATGAGAAGGAGAGTTTGGTGGCAAGTAGTTTTCCTTGATGGTTTTGCTGCAAAACTATGTGGAGCAGGATTCCCTGCTGTAAGTATATATTCTTCTTCTGTTTCACTCTCACCATCCATTTATCGTCTTGCTTCTCATATTCAAGTTTTACTGACTTATATCACTCAGTGGCTTGCAAAATTCGATACAAAGTTACCACTCAATGTTAGTGATAGTGATCTCACTCCCGACATGACAGAACCTCCACCTGAGCGAGCCGGAGCAACTGAAATGCTTTTCTGTTGTATTCGATATGAAGTTTCGCAAGCTATTCGAAAAGCCAATAGCTTTGGCAATGGAGGTCATGGACATGGGCACGGACATGGACATGGAGGTGAGGGTGGCCGAGGTGGTCATGGAGGTGGTCACAGAGGTGGTCACAGAGGTGGTCATCACGGTGGTCCATCACATACTCCTCCATTTTCGAACGTTATCGCTGAAAAAGATAAAACTATCGATGAATTGGAGGCCAGACTTCAAGATAAGTATCTACAATATTGTGATCCGTCAATACCTTTACATTTACTATCGATATATGTTGCCAAATCAGTCATCTGTACAATGAGATTAATGGCTCATCACCCACGACAATATCCTGATAAAGGCGCGAGTATGCCACAGAAGGAAAGAGATATGCTTTTTAATGAATCATTGAAGATGCTTGAATATGATGGCATAGGTCATTCCGAGAAGCTCGTCCAAAGATATCTATGGCATATTCATGTCCATTTTCAAGTAGATGCATTTATATACCTACTCAGCGAACTCCGACAAAGAGAAAGAGGAGAATTAGTAGATAAAGCATGGCGACAAGTGGAACTCGCATATGAATTCCGCGGAGAAATGCTCAACGATACAAAGAACAGTCTCTATTTCGCCTTGGGAAACTTAGTCCTCAAAGCCTGGGAGAAAAGAGAAGAAAGTGCAGGAACTTCAGCAAATTCAAGAAATTCCCCAGATCAAGTCACCCCACCGAGATTCATATCAATCCTCCGCTCTCAAAGACAAAAACACGATCATCTGCACAGATATCTAGATCATCAACAACGAAATCAGGGCAATGATGACGATGATGATATAGCAGATCCCTTCAGAACAGTAAATCACTGGCATATGCCCCCTGCAACGGCTGAATCTTACGTGAGGCAAAAACCTCCTGATTACATCCCCTCGCATTCTTCACATGAGCCTTCGGATTTGCATACCCAGCATCCTGTACAAATGCACATTCAATCGCAATCGCAATCGCAAATGCAAAATTCGCAAGAACAACCTTGGTTGGCGTCGGATTCTTTCCTGGATACGTCGATGCCCGATATCACGCCCTTGGATTGGGAGTATTGGCAGACGCTGCTGGATGGGGATTTACCTGCTTATACAGGACAGGTGGGTGGTGGTTATGGGATGGGTTGGTAGGGTTTGGGTTTGGGTTTGTGTTTGTGTGGTTTGTGCTTTTTGGTTGGTTGGTGTGTGGAGATTTGTATGGGGGTTGGTGGTCAAGAATACTTGTGTGTATATATATATATTTAGATTACTGATTTTGGTTTTACCTTTCTCATATCATTCATTTCACAAAATGAAAATGAAATAGATCGTTAATTCTATATAGAGAGTGCGTCTTTCTTCACTACAAAAAACAACAGGAGGTAGTTTCGTATTTATATATATCTAATCTTCCGGTGAGTAGAGCTATTACCTTCGTTTATCCTTCTCTTCTCTTCGTTGTCGTTGCCGTTATCGTGGTCAAAAGAAAGGATCCCCAAGCAAGTAAGTACCTAAGTAAAAATCCGAATCCGAATACCTTCCTCGCCAAAATCTTCTAAGATTCATTTCAATTCCAATATGTAAGATCACAAGCGTCTTCATTACTTGTTTATATTCATTCTTACTGACAATATACCAGTCTGGTTCCAAGAAAGTCTAGGTCTTGACGAATCTCTTCTATTGGTGTTAGCTTTGGCACTAGCTAATATACATATAACTAAATACCACTAGCAATTTTAATAAGTATATCTAGGTATCTAAATATCTAAATATCTAATATATAGATTGAAAAATCCCTATCCCAAAACCTATCCCATCTAAAAACCTCAAGTACAACGAAACTCTTCAGAATGTATATGATCAAAAGCTCTCAATAACCCAGCCATATGAGCTAATCCCGCAAAAATAACCATGAAATGCAGAACTTGATGACTAGAACCTACAATATCGTGGCGTCGCGGAAACCATTTTTCGGGGATCTGTGGGTTTTTGGTTAGGTTAGCTTTTTTGATTGTGGTACATCTCCCCTTCTAACATCCTCCCTCCTCCCCTTCCCCACGAAAAGAAAAATCCACTCACCCTAACAGCATAAGTAAACGCCCCCAAAAGATTCAATCCAGCCATAACCCCCATCCAATCCAAACTCATCCTGTACCTCTGAACCTCATATCCAAACAAAAAAACCCCATGCACAATAAAAATAACCGAAGACAGTCCCAAACAACTATACATAACCGCTCTATAAGGTCTCAGAGCCGGATTACGAAATTTAGGGTGCAGTGTTATGATTGCGCAGAAGGTTGCTAGGATGGATATCTGATTTTGTGTTAGGTTTTGGAGGGTTGGTTTTGAGGGGGAAAAGAGGGGGGAAAGAGGAAGGAAAGAGGCGTACCATGCTCCAGTAGGTTTTTTGGATCGATGAGGAACAGTAGAAGCCGTAGTAGACGGTGGGGATTGTGGAGCCCCCACATTAGGATTACGACGCCGAGGTAGTCGAGTTGGTTTCCTAGGGCGTTTATTTTGGGGCTGTGGTTTGCGAGGATGTGGAAACTGGTTATTTGGTGGTGGTGTTAAGGGGGGTTTGGTTTGGAGGGAGGATATTAGGGGACGATGTTGAGAGGGAAGATATTGGAAGGGAAGATATTGGAAGGGAAGATATTGGAAGGGAAGAGATTGGAAGGGAAGATATTGGAAGGGAAGATATTGGAAGCGGAGATATTAGGATTACATACGTAGCTGAGAGGAGAAAACATATTGCTACCCCGAAGAAAAAAGTAGAAAATACTATTATATCCGCTAGTGTGGCGGTAGCATAACGAGGTGCTATTTGTCGATAAAGTATAAAGGGGAGTGTAGCGAAGAGAAGCGAGCCAAAGAGGTGGGAATATATGTTGACTAGATGAATAATTTTCTATTAGTTATTCTTTTAGATAGTTACATATGAGATGAGATTACTTACTCGTCTCATTATGTACATGGCTTAAACTATGGAGAGATTTGAGAAATGAATTTGAGGCTGGTCTGTATTGTGTTAGTCTATCATGTGTAGTTTGGTGGTTATGATAAGTATCTACCGATATCCTGACAGGATATATTCGTTGTCTCTAAAGTATCAAAAGTGTAAGCTAGTTCCGTTTCTATATCAAGGAAGAGAACCGACTGCTGCCAGATTTCTTGAATATGCTGTTAGTGGTTGTACTTTAAAGAGCCGGGTCTATTGGAAGAAACATACGAAGTTCATTCCATTCGAGTAGATAACTTCCTACAGATTGACCATTTGGTGGTTTTCCTGCATCCCGCAGTACGGATTTGCTGATTTCTGCTTGGCTGTTAAGACTCTGTTTCGTTAGACGCCGACTTGACATCCTTAACGAGCCAAATTTGCAGAAATGTGTCTTTCCGCTAAACGAGTAACAATAGTATCAAACGAAAGAAAGAATATCTACGGTATATTTCAGAGTCTGCCAACTAAATCCCCTGTTTATTTTTGGTTAGTATCATCTGATTATAGATGAAGAAAAAGGTACCAACTTCATCTAAGACAAAGGGCTCCAAAACAATGTGGGCGTCAGCTCACCCCAATTTATTGATAACAACAAACATACAAAGGATTTTATATCACGTGTGCGGCAGACTACTACCTACCATTTCCGTCTATTTTTGCATGCAATCCCAGCCGGCGCTTATCGTGGAACCAGAAAGTATCCTTCACTCCACTTATATATGGACCACTATTCCCCATATAGTTTACCATCTTGTGGTATGTGCTTCCAAGTGGAGTGGAGCATACTGTCTGACGGTACGAGTAGCTTTCTTCACGCACACACCTGTATATTCATATCATGGGTATTGGTTCTTCGTTGGTAGTATCCTGGTTTTGGGGGTGTCTGTCCTGCAGAATCTTTCTTCAATGTAGGGTTACTTTCGCGTTTGGTCCAATACCAATACGTATTACTCGGCTCCATGAAACGAGTGAGGCACGGAAATAGTGACGGGTAAAGGAGGTTTGTTCAGGGGAGAGAAGGAGCATTAAGTGATGATATTTCCCATCGTGCTGGCACATCTCCAAGTTTACTTGCACAAAGTCAATCAATACAGATCATCTAGTCGAGAGCTATTCTCTCCATTTCCTTTGCCAGTATAGCGATGCCATTCTCCACTTCTTCTATACTTTGCTATTTTTCTTTAATCTCTACATCAACAAGTGCACCATTTCTCAAACCCAGCAACGAAACTACCACAGGATGGGTAGCTGATCCTAATGGCCGAGGCACACTTTCCCTCGTCATTTCTTGTCTCTTGACTTTATCGCTTTGTGTTTGGTCGGCTATGCATCTCAATATTCCTAGGCCAGATCATCCTGCAATTCATGAATATGTCAGAGGGGTTAAATGGGGGATTGTAGGGGTTTTTGCTCCAGAGTTGGTCGTGTTTGCGGCTTGGAGACAGTATAATTCTGCTGCGGCTTTGCGGGATTCGGTTCAGAAGAGGATTGCGGAGGGTGTGCAATCTCAGAACGGGATTACAGAAGTGGTAAAGTCTGAGCCTAGTAAACAGGATGGGAGATTCGAAGAGGTAATCATTCTGTTCTTTCTTCTCAGTGAGCTACTTTGGAGAGGATTCATTAGCGGGAGACTTATTAGTTACTGATGGGTATTAGTTTGGGATTCCTGCTCCCAAATTCGAAGTACAGGAAATCATTTCACCCTGGACAACCGTTCACGGCTTCTATGCCGGTATGGGAGGTTTCGTATTCGACTTTGAAAACCCCTCAGACAATACTCCGCCATTCATTCCCCCTTACACCCGCTTAACACTCACTGCTCGTGGCGTCAGTCTCCTAGCACAATGCGGCCACCTACCCACCATAAGTAAGCGAGAAATAGTCGACAAAAGCAAAGCCGACACGATGGCCAAACTTCTCGTTATTCTCCAAGCCGGCTGGATGCTCGTACAAGTCATCGGACGATTAGTGGCTGGTCTTCCAGTCACTCTTCTGGAAGTCAATACTTTGGGCCATGTTCTGTGCGCTTTTATCATCTACTTATTATGGTGGCATAAACCTCGCTCTATAATGGTTCCTACGAAATTGGAAGGGGACTGGGTGAAACCTCTCTGTGCGTATATGTATATGAGTAGTCAGATCAGTGGACACGATAGCAAACATCCCGGAATCCTCAAGCGATCATGGAAGGACTCGGAACTATCTAGATTTGCGTATGTTCCTCCGGAAACAAATGACGTAGCTCTCGAGGAACTTGTAAGTGATGTCACGCCATCCAATCCCACAACAGAGAAAACTCCAATTCCCGATCTCGATACCACAATCGCAAATCTACATAAAGCTGCCAAAAAATCTCCTCACGGATTCTTCGTCCCGTCAAAATCCTACCTCAATGCAGATGGAACATCGAAACGCGACCCCGACGAAAAAGAAAATGCACAATACCTCCGGACCGCCACTCCGGAACAACTTGCACGCTGGCATCTAGCAGCCCAAGCAATCCACACCCATCCGGCCCTTTCCTCACGCTTCACACCTCACCGCACCACCACCAATAGCAGTACATTAAACCTAGCCCCCCTTACCCAAAACTCCAACACCACTGCACAAACAACCCACGAACCACTCCTCGAACAACTCCTCTCCATCTCCTCCTCCAACTGGCCCAGCGAAGATCTCCTCCGCAGCACAGGTGGTCTAATAATGGGCATGACACTGTGGCTCGCCAGTATCCTCTTCGGAAGCGTACACGTCGCCGCATGGTACGATTACTTTCCGACATTATTCGAACAATGGATGTGGCGGGCCAGCGCGATCTATATTATATTTTCCGGAGCGTTATGGTTATGTATTAATGGGCTTGCACGAGCAAGTAAACGGGTTGATGAGTTTTGGGATCGGTTTTTGGCGTTGAGGGTTAATAGAGTGGTGTATGCTGTTATTGGGAGTTTGTGTACGGTTTGTGGGGTGGCGTATGTGGTTGCGAGGATTTATTTAGTGGTGGAGGCGTTTGTTAGTATTAGGAAGTTACCCGTTGGGGCGTATGGAACGCCGGATTGGACGGTGGTTGTGCCGCATTTGTAGTTCGTGCTTCTTTGTTTCTTTTTGCTGAGGGGGGATGATTTGAGATGAATGTGTAGATTTTAAGCGAAGTTTGTTAGTGGTGAGAAGGAGAGGTAGGAAATGATATCAAGTCGAAATTCAATGTAAATTTAATCATGTTATGATCATCAGAAGATAGTATGTTCTATTCTAGACAGACTTCTATAAAGTAATATCTCTCTCTACATGCATCTAATTTCGTTTATCCACTTAGACTCTACCTCCAAATTTCCGCAACACCTCATGCCGAACGGAATGTCTTACCAAATAACCCCATATTGAATGTTAAACATTCATTGCCAGTATTAAGCCAAGGCTCGGATATCAAAAGCTACCACGTAGTCCACCACATTGTTTCATTGTGGAAGAACGTATCAGAAATATCTAAAACTTTCCTTCTATATTTTCCAACACTTGAATAGCTTAACAGCGAAACTTTGAACGATCTCCCAGGAATCCTACTTTGATTTATCCGCTTTTGAGATTTTCTCTTTGGTAGAAAATCTTTTCGATACCGCCGAAATCATTTGTTTAAACCAATAGAAATTCAATAGTGTTAACATGGTATTTGTTCCTAGATAACCCAAAGCTAGCCACATTGGCAATGCCAAGTCTTCAGAAGATACGGAAGATCTGAAGAGTTCCCATTCGGGATCTCCAGGGACTGCGAATTCGGGGATGGATATTCCAGTGTTTGGAGCATGATAAACCTTCCATATATCTTGGTAGAGTCTTGCTGATTGATATACACCCCATGCGAGACGACATGAGAAAAATGTGAATATCAAAACAATGCCGTTGTAAAGTTGGGCTCGGGAACCCGTCATATTGAGTTTATCAAAGAACCAGTGAATATTGAGGAATGGAGTAGAGAGCTCGTAGAGAACGAAGTTAAGGCCGTAATAATTCGCAAATGGTCTCTAAAAATCCCAAGCATTAGCATATATTGCGCAATAATATCTGACAAATATTTTGGGTAAAGGACTCACGAAACCAATGCCAACTACCAAAAACGCACAAACAGCATGTATCAATGAGCTCAAACCAAGAACATCTAAATGTACAACACTAGCCATCAAATCCCATAAGAAATATCCCATGGCAAAAGCTTGGACAAGAGCTTGAGCTCCGGTATACCCCCATATTCTACCCGTCCAGTCCATATTCCATCGTTCTTCATCTGTCCATTGCACCCATAAGGCTAATGTACATATCAAAGTGGATTGAACGAATGAGACGACATGAATGTTCCAGTTCACCTTACTCCGAGGTGCAAGAGATGGATAGATATTTGGGAAGAGTTGGGATGAGATAATGTGCGAGCCATAGGTATCGATGAAGGTGTAAAAACAAAATGCAACAATAATTTCATGTAAATGGAAAGGCAAACTCTGTAAGTTTAGAAAATCGGATAAAACCTTTCCTTTCGTCACAAATATCTCTGGTGCAGAGAAGAATGGATCGAGCATCTTGGGGATATGATTGTGAAAATTCGATGTTTGTCCCGCACTTCCCCTCGATGTATCAATACCTATATCAATGTCTTAAATGCATACTGCTAGAGACCAATCAAGGCCTGAAAATTCAACCTCGCACCCGATGGCACTGCATATTTTCCCCCTGCACAAACCCTAGCATTGAAAACGCATTTTCATTGGAGCTCAGGTACGATGGATGCTGCAATAACTTTTTGGTGCAACCAAATGTAACGGGAGCCCTTTCGGCAATTATATCTTGGCCCAAAGCAATCTTCAACCAGCATCTTCAATCAACATCAAGATAGATAAAGTCTTAAAGCAGCCTTCGCAAACCATACTGTACACTTGTACAATCCGGAGTGGGTACGTACATAGACCCATAGACCCATAGACCCAAGAACATCGGATAAAACTTCAAAGAAAGAATTTTGGATTCCATGTGCAATAGATCTGAAGAACTACTCCTTAGTAAGTAGTTCATGATAATTATGTTTGTAAGTCTTGCCAAAGTTTACTTCCCAAGCTAAAACGTTCAGCGAGACAAAAGTTGAGGTTACAATAGACTTTTAGACTTTTCTTCAACGACGGGATGGCCCTTCCCGAAGTATGACCCTACGGCACGTGACATGATCCCTTTATCATCACCAAATTTCCATCCAAAGTTCAAATTCATGAATGATCCACTTCAACGATTTTCATCACATCATAACAAAACAAAACGATGATATCTCATCTCATCCTCCGCCTTTTCGAAAACTTAAAAAAACGTGTATTCAGACGATATCAATGTATGGTCGTACCTTTTACCCCTGTCATTGAAACTTGGGACGTTTTAAAGGTTGTCGGAATTGTACCCCTCCGTGCTTCAGGATACTCGCTTGATTATGTTGCCATAGGCGGGCATGATTGAAACCGAGGAACACGAGAAGATTGGGGTTTCTTTTTAATGTGTACTATGAGTAAAATATTGGCAATGGGATTCGAATTTGTGGGTTGATGAAGGGTTGAGTAAGATCTTACTACACATATCTTACAATTGATGAAGAAGTACTCGAACAGTTGAGTTGAGTTCAACCTCTGTTATATATGCGAAGTTTCGCAACCACGAAAGCCACCACAAGAAGAGGCCAAAGAGTAGCCCATCACCATGTACTATTCTCGAACAGCCCTACATATATTACCCCAATCATATACATTTATTTAGAGTCCAAGCATATCATTCAAACATGATACACATCATCTCAACTCCAAAGTTTACATGCCTGTCATTATCATCCGTACTTTTTGGTTCCCGCCGTCAAAAGACCTAACCGTTGGAGTTTGAAAAGCCCCTTCCCCAAACACTTCAAAGTCGTTTTTCGTCACAACTTCAACCTTCGTCATGGCCTTGAATATACTTGGATGAAGGAATTGTATTATGTTTTACTCATGAATATCATCAAAGCTGGAACAATCATGACAAGCATACTGAAGATCATTCAATTCTTTCTTTTTGCTTAATTATGCCTCCTTTCCTTTCCAGTGTAGGTTCTTACTCTTGCTCTTCATATCTTGGTTTTTTACTTTGTCTACTGTTTTCTTCTCTTTTCATTCTTCTTTTTTCATCTACTGTGTTTTGAAAATACACGTATTTTTAATTGTTTTGTCGGCGAGTACGATATACAACATTCATTATCAAGCGCAAGTCGCCATTATTCTATTCTGTAAAATTTAGACAAATCTATACTGTCGTTTTTGAATTTCAAAAAGATTCTATCAAGATGCATTTCACACAAACCCTCTTCCTTTCTGTCTTGAGAATCTGCAGTGTCTTTGGTAAATCCTCCATCCGTTACCTCTCACCCTCACCCAAATCCAACTAACCCTCTCTACCAGCCGCCACCAACACTACAACCTCAACACCCCAAACCCACGTAGTCCGCGTCGGCTCCACCAACAATTCCATAAAATACTTTCCCGACAAAATTTCCGCCCAAGTAGGCGATATAATCCAATTTCAATTCGCAGGAGGAAACCACACCGTTACCCAATCCACTTTCGATGCACCCTGCGTCCCAATTAGTCAAAGCACAAACAACACCGGAGTCTTCAGCGGCTTCATGAATGTAGCTGCTAGTTTAAATAGTACCGGTATGGTACCGGTATTCAGTATGCCGGTCAAGGTCGCTACACCAATGTGGTTCTACTGTAGCCAGGCTAAACATTGCCAAAAAGGAATGGTTTTGGTGGTTAATGAGAAGTATGTTTATTTCATTCCTGATATTTTCATTCCTTTATGAATAGGGAAAAAAAAAAATAACAGTTCTAACACATATTTTCCCATCCAGCACAAAAATAAATGCCTCTCGCTCTCTCTCCAATTTCGCATCTCTAGCTGCGAAAGCTCCTGCTAATCTCTTTCCTACACTTAATGGTACCTCGGCTACTGCTTCTACATCTTCTACTTCGAGTACATCTGGTACTTCATCTACCTCTGAATCTAATTCTGGTTCTTCCTCTGGCTCTTCATCAGATTCATCGGATTCGTCAAGCTCAAATTCGGATTCAGATTCCTCCTCAACCACAGATTCTACAGCAACCACACCTAGTCCTTCCGTCTCGAGTACATCCTCAGGAACATCTTCAAACAACAACGAAGATTCTTCATTCTCACCATCTGGATCCTCATCATCCCCATCCACATTATCAACAACATCCTCCGCCCTCGCATCCGCAACCGCAAATACAGCTTCGGGAATAATACATTCGAGAATTAATCTCTTCGGTGTATTTGCAGTGTCCGGGGTGGGAATGTGGGGTTTATTGTAGATCACCAGAATCTAGATGAATGTAGTGATTATGATTATAATGAGGAAGGGGTAAGAGGGATTGAGGGGGGATGTAATGTGGATGAATAGATGGATAGGATAGAATGAGAGAGTAAAAAAATGTAGTTTGGTTTAGTGTAGTTTATGCTGGATTGGGTGGGCTTTGATTGTGCTAGATGCTAGATTCTAGAGAAGAGGAAGATTGATATAGATCTCTAAGGTGTGAGGATGTTGGGTTAATAAATATTATGGGGATGATTTACTAAGTAGGACTTATTTTGTGTATAGATGCTGGCTTTGAAAGATCTTACGGATGTATCTTAGGATCTTATATGCTACCGTGTTCTGTGGACGGAATACGATGATGCATTTGAAGAGTTTCTGTTTTTTTTGGTTTTATTTACCGGGAGTGAGTGTATATGGCGATGTGGAGATTGAATAGATTATTTTTTGTTTTTGTTGTATTTGATGACTAGGGATTTTGAGGATATTGTATTGATCTATCTGTGTTGACCTTAGTGTTCGCTTGGCGAGAGGGGTTGATGTATAGAATAGGTAGCTTTTTTAATAATTTTCGTGTCAGGATATGTAGATGGCTTTTTGAAATTTACCATGATAATTCTCTTGTAAGTGTAATGGTATAATTATAACACTACATATCAAAGTAATATCCACAAAAACTCTGTGTCTCCCGTAACGCCAAATAGTACCCAATACCACTCTCCTCGTGAGTATTCTCTCTTTTGATGTGAGAGTATCTGCGAAAGCTCGAAACACCATTGCACCATGTAAAAGTCCTCCTTCCAAATTATAATCGCCTCCACTCTCTCAAAAATCCAATAATAACTGCGGTGCCATTCTCTCTAAATCTTCCACCTAAACCACAAAATACAATGTTAGCTAGGTACTCCATTTGAATGCACTCAATTTCCCCAAATACCAAATATCAAACGTCAAACACCAAATACGGGAAAGAAAAAAGAAAAACATACCTCCCAAAATCCCCCCCTCCTTCCATCCGCATCCCAAATCCTCGTAACTGCTTCCCTCACAAATACATCCATATACTTCCCCACAGTCTTATTCGCCTCTTTTGAAATCCGCGAATTCTGTTCTGTAAATAATTCGTGTATGATTTTGGAGAGGAGATCCGGAGGGATAGTTGCGCGGGTATCGGAGTCTTCTGAGTCTTCTGCTTCTTCGGGAGATTGTTGATTAGGCGGATGCGTGCGGCTGGATGTGAGATTGGATTTGGATTTGGATTTGGAAGTGGAGGTGAAGGTGGTTTGGTCGGGAGATAGTATTTCAACTTCTGAAGCAGAGGACTGTGGATCGCTATCGTCATTTTCGTTGTTGGTTGCTTTTGCTTTTGTTTTTGAGGCTGAGTTTGAAGGCTTGGATGTGCCGGTAGGGGCTTTTGATTTGGATTTGGTTGTAGATTTAGATGTAACAGGCTGTGAGGCGAATGGATCGTCACTTTCTTCTCCTTCTTGTTCAACATCAACGTCCATTTCTGAGTCTTCTACTTGCGGAGTTGGAGTTTTGGAGACGCGAGGTTTCTTAGGGGCGGGGGCTTTGTCTTTGGGTGTGGATTTTGCTTTCGAGGCGGATATGGAGGTTGATGCTGAGCCTTTGGGACGTCCGCGGGGTTTGGAGGGACCTGCTTTGGTGGAGGGGCGTGGGGGATTGAAGGGTTTAGGTGGCATGATTTTGGGTGGTTGAGGTTGATAGATTAAGTATTCGATCGATTCAATTGTACGTATAAAATATGCGGTATGTGAATTGTGGTTTACCTGTAACTGTGAAGTATTGCGACGGCATTGTAAAAATGGATTTCGCTCTGGAGTGGAGATACGCGACGCGAAATGGAACGTTAACATGTGACCAACGGAGTACGGTGGTCAAATCCTTTAGAAACCAGATTCCACGCTCGAAAATCATCTCGCTACGACACCATCAAAGCAGAAAAATAAAGAGAATAAACTCATTATTACTCAATTTAGTTTAGATTCATGGGAATATTGAAAATATTCATGAGACATGCAACAAAAACTTTGAGAAAGGAGCTAAGGAAGCTAGGGATGTGGGAGGGTGAATTGAAGGATGGTGGAGGAACAGAGGTGGATTTCGGTGAGTGGTAGTTTGCCCCCTTTTCTACTGCGGGTGGTGATTTGGTTTGACGCAGGTTGATGGTTGGACAAGTTTCTCCTAATTAAGATGGTGGTTAAATGATTTGGACAATGATTGAAGTCTGCTGTTGATTAATATTTGAGTTATGGTAGACTTACGAGTGTATCGTCGAGGTAAGGAACTGTGTCTACACATTGTCATTTGTCTGCCTAGATGGTAAGACTTACATCGTGCGAATATCTCAATTGTTCTGGTGCTTTAAACTGTTTTAGTACATGTCTCTCAACTTGCGGGGGAGTCCTGTATCAGGGACTGCTAAGTTGGCATTTCTCCGCTACCAAATGCTACCTGGCACAGCATTCTTCCGTCACCAGACGCAGCAAGAAACTTACGACTGTTTCTTTAGGTGATAGAAGACGTTCATGGTGATTGCCAATTGGAGTTCATGAGCCAGAATCGCAGGAGGACACATATGAGTTGTGGAAACATTAGAGATCATTCAGATTTGAGGGGCAAAGTCCAGCTTTCTATTGCAAAGGAGAAAAGCATCGGAGGTGTCGAAGGAAAGCCCAGCCCATTAGTTTATAAAGTCGCCCTCTGAACTATTCGCGGTAGAAAACGTTCATATCATATCGATCTTGCTCATATCATGCCGGCTCTGCTAGTCGAGTTTCACTTCAACATATCTATGCTTGCTCCCATGTCAACAGGGGTTCAAACCATAGCTACCATGTAGTGTTTCAGCTTCTAGGTTTTCGTCCGTCAACAACTACCTCTCAAGTGAATGGAAAAGCTCAATCAATCAACATCGAGGTGGGTCTTTTTGGTGGCCTCGGGAAAGAGTTGTACATGAGTTGGTGACGAGGTAGGGTCAAAATTCGCGACAGATGCAATTTAGGAATCTCTTGGATATCTGTATAAACACACGATTCTTGAATTTGTGGTGGATATTGACAGAGCAAGGATTTGTCCTTGCAGGCATTGGAGGCTTCTCTTTCCGTTGCAACATGCCTTCTTGTTTGGGGTTTACACATCTCTATTCCTATCTTGTAATATTACACTATAAAGCAATGCCATTGAAATTATCATTCCCGTCATATTGTCTTTCTCTTTTCTTTTTTTGCCGTCGCTTACAACAATTGGTCCTTCATTTCATTGCCACAAGGACATATATTTATCTAGTAGAGCAATTCTGATTTTTGACCAACAGCCAATGTTGAATTTGGAACGTGAAGCTTATCCAGTACTTTCCTTGTGAGTTTCTCGAAATCTTTAGTCAGATTATTTGACCATTGTAAGTATTTTTGGATGATCCAAATTAGGTTTATATAGTGTCTTAAAGACTTTTTGACCAAGAGGGAGTGATGTTGGGTAGCCACAATACTTTTATGGCTTTCATTCATTAATTCACTTCACGCACTTTTACTATTCCCGATCTTGATATAAATACTATGCTCAGACTATCCTCCTGTGGTGCGCCAAAATATTCTTTTCCTAAAATAAAAGCCAGGTTTGTGGTGGAGGTCTTAACTATCTAACTGAGCGAATGTTTCTTTGACCTAAATTGATAGTGCAGTCCATGTGTGTCTTCTGCGGTCAAACTTCAGTAACCTGATATCTTCAGGCTGTCAATACTTGATCGTCTATCAGTCGGTTTTTTTCAATGCTTATGGATATAATTATTCATGGCGAATGAACTAATGTTGTCGGTTCATTCATTCACTTGACCATCGCCCGTAGGAAACATACATTACTTGAAGACTCTTCTGTGCTATACCATGCTTTTTTTTAAGCTTGCATGAATACATGAAATTCAATTTACTCAGTTTGTTCCTTTTCTCTGCCTGATCTACATGTTTTGGAATAATATCATTCATGATCAAAATTCGATGGAAAATGAAAATGCTTTATATACTTTGGGTTTCAACTCGGTCGTATTAGTAGTGCCTCGCAGAATGAAATATTGTCTGCTTTTACAGCTGGCCAATCATGCTCTATATTTTATCCTCGTCCTAGCTTATTCTTTCACAACGAGCTCCTATTGGAGTGGCGACGCAATCTAAAAGCCCACTCAACTTTTTCTTCAACTTCAACTTTTTATGAAGACCGTTCAGGCTCATTCATGAAAATACATCTATGCTACATTTGTGTTTCCCGTTTTGACAGAAGGTTGCGGAAAAATGATGGGAAATTTTGTTGGTCAATATCAATATATTCATACTGTCTTGAAGTGGCTGTTTCGCATGACTGCTGTTGTTTTTATGGAAAGTTTCAGGTTATTGACATTGATTATGTTTCTTGATATCTTTATCGACCTTGAGAGAAGTGTTCTGCCTGTTGATTCATTTAAATTTTCCATTTTCACTCTCCATATCCCAAGAGACCTAATGGGCCTTTGTGTGTGGAGTTGTGTGTGTAAAACAAGAGGAGTGCTTGGTGAGTCGGGGGTATATGAAATCATCTTGTTGTTGGGCTAATAGAGTTTGATGAAAATGTAATAAACGTTAATCATGAAGTGATCAGAAAGGGAGTTGTGTTCTCAAGTATCAGAAGCTGGACTTTCTTGCGACTGTGGTAAAGAACTCTACATACATACCAGTTCAACCTCGCAGTCTGGATAATTTCTGATTAATTGAGATTGTCTTGCTCTGTCATTTTTCCAGCTAGATGCATCCCGTGTTGACAGCAATCACCTAATCTTCAGATCTATATTGTTTTTAGGAATCTACTCAATCCAAGTATTGGCACATTCCTCCCGTTACATTGACACCTTACAATCCCTAACAGCTTGGACTTTGACCCTCATTTTCTCGACCCGACGCCGGGGTCCGAGTACACTACTTCTTCATTCGAGATGAGATTGCTTTTTTTGAGCTAATGACCTGTTAATCTAGAGAAATCCGGAGGCATGGAATTGGGGGAAGTCTATAACAGCTTGGCAGAGTTTATTTGCGGTAGAAGATTTCAATCTTAGTGACGCCTAAATCTTCAGGTTTCGTGATCCTGAAGCGCAATATTCGCTATACCTATTAGCTGCTTCTTATTTGCGCTCTCGCTGGTAGATTTTGATTGTTATATTAGGCTTACAAGTATCTCTCGCGGTTACTAGGCTAGTAAGACAATGCTTACAAAAGTAGTCTTGAATCGGTGTCACGAAGTTCTCGCACCATTCGCCATAGCCTAGTTTATTGAATCATAGCTTTACTGAAAAGCATCGTCGATCCTACTAATGCTAGTGTTGTCGCTGGCGATAGCGGTCAACTAGTTTTTTGCCGCTTAATAACAGAAAAGTTATCGCCGTCGCTAGCGGTGTCGCTTTCGTCTGTCCTTTCAGGCCAAATAAAGTTGACATAAACCATTCGTATCAAGGCCTAAAATGCGCTTTGCCGGAATGAATAAGAATTTTTCTTTTGCAAGTTCATAATTTTACAGTGAAGAAGAAAATTAGGCAAAGGATGAAGATTCTTTTATAATCAATCTCAATGCGGAGAAAAGCTTCATTGCGTCTGAGTTCTAACATTACGCCATGGAATCAATTCCAAGTGGTATTTTTGAGTCACCTGAATCCAGTATCTTTCTTAATCAAGCTAACCTTGCCTCAATTCTCAAGCTGGGCGTATAAGAAGTCGTGTTTTTCTAATTATTCTAGTATCTTTGAGTCAAGCTGTGGTGATATCAAATCAGCCATCAAGGTACTGAATGGTCTGCTAGCTGATGTGGAAGTCTGCTCAGGGGAACAGTGAGACGGATCCGGGGTGAAATATTCCAGTGTTCTGCCATCCCGTTGAGTTCTGTAAATCTTGCTCGGTCTTTAAAAGTTTAATGATTTTTTTGCTATCAATCTGCGCAGATTTTGTATGCTGTTGTTTTTGCAAATAAATACTAGTGTAATTTCTGAGGCAAACTTTTAAGCACTACTTATTCCGGCTTACGAGTGCTGAACATCTGGCTGCTATCATTCAGTCTAACCTTATAGGGTGATGTTGGTTATCTTTGTACAAACATTTAAAGAACCAGGATTTGATTATACATCCAGTACTATTTTATCTGGGTTTATTCACTTTGAATATAGACTATTATCATTCTGTTTGGCCTACCAATTCTTTCCATTTCCTTCCTGTCACGTTCCGCCTGAGCGTACGACCTGCGCTTTTCATCTAGTATAAAAATATCCACTAGTTTAGTTTACACACAGCAAAGATATAAATGCGGCACCAAAGAAAGACGCAGGATGCAGTCATTCGTCAAGAAATGTTGTGTGATTATTAATGAAAACCTTTCCTAAAAAAATAACATGAGATTCGTACCTGCAGGCTGCGGTCATATCTTGGAAGTATTTTTCAATCCCTTTCGTAGCCTCCATTCTTCCGAATTTCAAAGAACGACGTTTCAAAAGGCTGTCATCTTCAAGGCCATAAAAGGCAGTTGAAGTTCCCCCATTGAGAAAAAATCATTTAAAATAAGAGGCTTCATATACATAGCCTTCATTTTTCGAAAGCTAATGTATCATTCATATCAGTTGCTGATAGCTTTAGAAAAATTCACGGCCCTTCTAGTTTGTAACTCACCGAAATTCCCAAAGTCATTTCTTTAACAGGCTCCCTAGTGTTAACGTTCTGATATAAAAAGCCTTCGTCTACTCTATCCATAAAATCTCATTTCTTCGCCGAGTACTTACTGCTGCGCATCTCATGATTCTTTCAAATAAATTTGCTGGTATGCGTGTTGAATTCATGCAGAAATTTGGAAATACTAGGAACCTACGAACGAAGGAGATGAGAAGTGAAAGCTCGAGGTTTGCTTTCGGATACTGTTATCTATGATTCTTCAATACTGCCGGTCATTCGATCTTTGACGACAAGCTTGCCGTCGGTCTCGGCTGTGTAGCAATTATACAATAATTCCAAATATTTTTGACGTCCTTTACACTCCTCAAAATCAGATGAATCTTCAAACCTCTTGAAAAACTCAACGAGGCACAGAATTCTTCGTATAACCCTTCCATTTCCTGTCAAATTCATTCCAGCAAGTTACAACATGGGGCAAGAGACTCCTTACAGCCAAGCGAAACTCCCTCTCGTCCTACTATATTTCTTTAGAACTGAGCGCTATGCCCAGGGACCGGAAGGGATTTTTTTTTTTTACAGAAATTCGCCTCGTTATCTTCAGCGCGGTAAAAATGCGAGGTATTTAACATCCCATTCATTATTCGTAGAACTCATGGACGACTTAAAAGTCTAATCGCAATATCTGCAAGGAACCTACATCCTCGGATTCTGAGATATATAACCAAGAAAGAGGAGAAATAAAGAATGGATGGATAGTAGCAATGAAAGGCCCACCTCTTACTAATGTTCCAAATATTCAATCTCTCCTCCGTCTTCCTCATTCTCTAAAACGCTGCGTTATCACCATCGCCAATTTCACCATCACTATATAGAGATGTTTCCTTTCAAGAATCGACAAAATTTTGCTTGAGAGCAGTATTCTTCAATCCAAGCTGTCTCTATTCCATTTCAACGACTCCCTCATTTGAACGGACTTGAGATGTAATCACGATTTCTTAGTATCTTGCTACAGAGAATTTGTTGCTGGGGATGTGCCGTTAAATGTCACAGTGAGATTACAATCCACTCAGTGAATCTCACGAAAATTTAGTACGAATTACGGGTCTTTTCCAGCTCTAGTTTTCTAATGTTTCTCGGACGCTTTGGGATTCAATATACAAGTATATAATGATACATTATCCTTCTGTAGTTAGGGTGAACACAAGAAATGCAAAGGTTTACAAGAACCAAAGGGCAGAGAGCAAATGTGTTGAGTGATGCCGGCATTTGATTTCTGGAATAGTGCAACGATACAGGAAAGGCGGGAGGTAAAATCACTAGGGAGTACTACTGGCTAGTTAATTAAGTAGCAGTTCACAGGTGATCTTGTTTCGAGCACAAGCGGTACTTCAAAACTTCACGTTGGACTCAGTCATGGCTGGTGGCCTTTTTCAAAAATAGACCAATTTGTTCGAGCCGCTCTATAGCAAAAGTCCACGACTAAATGTTGTCATTTTTCTCAATTCGGTAAATTTGTTATCTTATCACTGTCACCCACAGCAATCAAGTCACAAAATTCCAACACAAAAACTCAAATTTCTCACTCATCTATATCGTCCACTAAATCATTATCCCTCCTTAAATATTGTTAGAAAACTTAAGCCTTGCTGTTGGAGAGTTTCTATATTACTTTAATTATGAAGAAGGAAAACATTTTGTTTACAGCAAAGTATATAGAGCGTCCTGACGCAATTCTACTACTGTGTAGTCGAGGTTTGAGGATCTTAATTAGTAACATGTTTTGCTCGAGAATCTAAGGTTGATATACACAAATACTAACGATCGTGCTCAGTGCTCAACACTTTTCATTTGCAATAATTAATAATTTAAAAGAGTCTAGGATTCCGAACAAATTTGACATGAAATTGTCACGATTGATGGCCGCACATGACTTCAAGGTTACCCCGCGTATTCCAAGACCACTTTACAATGGTGAATCTTTCCCGGTGTTACTTCCTTCCTCCTCCATAAAGACTGTGTCATGACATTAAAAAACATTTATCCATCCTAAATGCCATCAAAAATTAGAAGGCTTTGGATATTGGCTCCGCCAAAACCTTGTTGCCGCAACATTTCTCGACCACGATGAACAGGGAATTCAGCAACGACCATAATGCTGGTATCCTCAACACAAACACCAGCTTTGATCAACAACTGTAGCACCGCGCAAAGTGTCCTTCCGGTCGCGAGCACGTCGTCTACTATTACTACTGAAGTACCTCTGGAAACCAGGTCTTTATTCATTTCAAACCTCTTCTCTTTTGACTCATGTAATCCCGTAGAAGATATATGTGATGGGGATTTTGGGGTAGAGATGATAGGTGGGGGAAGTTTGCCAGATTCACGAATCAAGGCCAATGGTATACCAAGCATCATCGCCAAAGGTGATGCAAAAACATACCCGCCAGCCTCGCAAGAAACCAATTTATCGACCTTAGTCCATTCACCATGGAAATAGTTTTGTAGGAGAGTGGTGACTAAAGCTAGTCCACCCGCCTGTTGAGAGATGTCAAGAACATGACGGAAGATAATCCCCGGGTGCGGGTAATTCGGTACTGCACGTACCATACTAGCTAGTCGCGTCAGGTCGTCGTGGAGAAATGGAAGGAGATACTGCTTGGCAAATGTTTTCGCCGCCTCGTTTCCATCCTTTTCATTGTCGAAGATGAGGCTAGGGCGATAGTGTAGGACTTTTGAGTTTAATTTACTCTTGCTGCATGCATTTTCATTTTCATAGTTATTGTTACCGCCGGAACATTGCCCTTTGCGAGTCGACCGCACCTTCTGGCCAGCTTTGATCCGAATATCAAGAAGCCTCCTGTCTGGTACGAGGTGCGAAAATGTCGCTACAGGTGCTTCGTCTCTCATTCCAGTGATTAACAACACGTCAACATCGCCAAACTCATGAACAATATTCTGGAAGTGTTCTATCGGCAGTTGAGGCCGTTGTGCCACCTGATCGTGATAGAATACAGTCAACGGTTGACGATGTTTCTCCTTGTAGGAACGATCGGAAAGAAGACTATCTGCATCGGCTCCAGTAGCTGTCGCATATTCTCGCTTGGTGACATCGCTGATACTTGCTGAATATGCTGTGAAAGCTTTATAGGGGTGTGCGGTTATTATGGAGACAAAAACGTCAGCACAATAATCTTTACCGGCTGCGCTATCACCCGTGACAAGAATGATGAGTTTTTGTTTCACCGGTGGTTCTTGTAGTGTACAGGCGTACGCTAACACATTATGTGGATCTAAAATACGTTTCAGACGGGCTAGACGTGGAAGATTTGGCCCAAAAGCTTTAGCTGCCAATGCTTTGTCCCTAGGGTCTGGCCCAAGGTCGGCGCCGTACACTCCACAACAAAAGGGCAGCAAGTTTTTCGCGACATCATAAACCCACTGTACAGAACTTTGAGCAGTTTCCATTCCATTTTGGTCGCAGGGCCACACGCCAGTTATAACACAGACAAAATTCCAATCACGACAGCCGAAAGCTGTTGCTTCCCTTGCTATATTATGCAGTGACCCACCACCATGCAGTAGATGAAAATAACAGAGTGGCGAAGGGCGAGCATGGATTGCCGCTAACAAAATATCCACGATGTGCACCTGTGCAATGTTCTTCAAGAATAAGCATCGTTTGAAGGAGGTGGTTTTGCCAGAACCGTGTCCGCCGTGCAGCCCAGACATGTACATTTCAGTCTCGAACAAACCGACTCCGTCCACTATTTGATGTTTGTTCTCTAGACCCAGGATATTGGTTAAGAATTTGGGAATCTCAGGTGCTAGTGTGGTTGTGGAAGCTTCAAACGTGGTCACCCCAAGATGCAACTGGTCTACATCCCAATAGAGATATGCGTCTATGGACCAGTTCTGGGGAAGATTCTTGGCAATAGAGTCGACATTGGAAAGTCTTTTCCGTGCCAAAGTTTCGGACCTCATTGGGAATACCCAGTTTCGGACAGAATAGGTCGGAGCTGGGTAAGCCTTGAAAGTAATGCTAATCACAACACCGAAGTTAGTTCCAGCTCCTCTTACTGCCCATAACAAATCCGTTTCGTCTTTGGAGCGCACTCCTCCGGCTGGCACACATTCGGTTGGTACTTGTCCGACATAAACAACTTGACCATTGTCAACGCTGACAAGTACGGCACCCACGATATTGTCGCATGCAAGTCCGTGAAGCCTAGTAAGGTGACCAACGCCACCTTGTAACCACAAACCAGCACCTACACTTGGGCGGGACCCAAGAGGCACTGCCAAGCCCAACGGCGTGACCTTCCGGACGATGTCTCCAGTCTTACACCCTGCCTCAGCTACAACCAAATAGTTAGATGTGGAGTAAGTATCGGTTTTGCCTACATCGTCACTGTAATTTATAATGTGTACTTGGTTAAACGCTTCCATGTCGACAGCAACAACATTGGGCCACATACAATGACCACTGTGGCCCCCACCAATAATAGTAAGTCCAAATTTATTCCCTAAAGCCCATTGGACAAGCTGTTGGACGTGTTGTACCGTTGTTGGTTTGAAGACATCAGCCGGTTGGTGCAAGCGAGCTTCCCAGTTTTTGACTTTTCTCTCCGTTCTCATCTGCCCCAATTGTGAGTTTTGATTCGGTAAGTCGATCGCACGTCTATTGAAAGACACCATACGTTGAGGTGAGCTGAATGAGAGGTAGCTTTGGCGCGTTTCCTCATTGCAAGTTAAGGCGCGACATATTTTTATCCACGCGCCCCGAACAGTCTCGTCTGATTCCACGTCCTGCTTGACGTATCCCCCGATGAAAGGAACAAAATTATTAAGTATCTCGTCATCATTTTCCACAGTAACAATTGCAGTAGGGAAAATCGCCGTTCGCTCGCAAGCCAATCCGTCAATATCAAGAGCTTCGTCGCGGTGAAAAATAACTACTTTTCCATCTTCTGGACCTTGAACAAGTAGATCTAGCGCACGTCGTACGAATTCATGCTTGGGATTCATACCATACATGCTATGGCAGAAAAGAACAAGGTCGAATCTTCCCCCATCATCAGTCTGTGTGCAACCCCCTGGATCAATGTTAAGAGTAAAAGGGGCCCGATAGATATTAGGTGAGCTTTCCAAAAGAGGCAGTGGGGAACCTAATGTCGATGATAAGCAAAGCCAATCTTCCAATCTTGTAGCTGATAGCAGATTAGGCTCAAATGCAGTGTATGTTCTAATCTTCCGTGTTAGATGAATGGGCAGGTAACCAAGTACGCTTTTAGAACCAGGCCCGATTTCAAGTACCGAAAGATTAGAACGCGATTTCAATAGAGATGTCAGAAGCTCATTGAGTTGTGGAATAATGAACTCTTGATATGACTTCCATTCTGATCCATGAATTAATATTTCGAAACCGGCATTGTACTGGGTATCTGATAGCGGTTGATTTAAGGACGACGTGTTTGCCGTGTCCCACTCCTCCAGAGCTTTCTTCAGGTAGTCGAAACTGACCATTTTATTTCAGCATAAAAGATTAATGAGGAAAAATATAATCTAATGGAGGAAGACAGATACTTATATACATCTCGCAAGAAAGATGAAGGCCTATGACCACAGGTCTTGCAGCCATTTGCCTAAAACTTCACAATGAAAGGTGACGCATTTTTGAAAACTTACAGTGCGTTTGTGGAAACATCAAACTTGTAAGAACTAACCACTTCCTAAAACAATTTCTACTGTTGTTTCTCAATCAAAAAAATTTGAAGTATAGATGGTTCAAATCGTTCTTATTGGACAGTAAAACACAAAATGTTTGATGGAAATTGTTTCTATCACCCCGGTAAAGGGCATCGGCTTTCATTATCTTGGTGAGATTGTATTGTTTGATGTTACGCAATTAGATGTTTGAAGGTTGCTTGCTACGAGGGTTTTAGGCTCGATTATGACTATACAGTGTGAGGCTAGTGCACATACCCTTATTCAGTAGTATTGCAGCAGTGACTAATTAAATGCGTTCATGATATGCGTCACGCATATCTTGATTGACTGTAGTTATACATGCAATCTTCCGTAAAACTGTGACCGGTGTAACCGGTGTAATAGGTGTAATAGCTGGTGCGACGAACAATAGACGGAACCAACAATCAATGTCATGATGATACACTCTACTGGAATCATTCTATTCAGCATGAATGAGTTTTATACATTGGCGCCGATTACAGGAAGTAAGCTAAAGTGATGCCTGTTACGAGGTTTGCCGTCTAGATCACGTGGAAGTGCTCTAGGCTCTCGAGGTGGTTTATAACTAGGCGTCAAGCAGGGACTTAAAGTAATGACAATAATGCAATTCGTAACTAATAGTAGAGTATACTAAATGATTGATCTTGAGCACGAAGCTCTATACAAAGGAAATCCATCTTGATTATATAGACTTTCATGCCTATCGTTCCTTCGGTCCCTTCGATCCCTGTTGACCTCCTGGGATCTTGGCAGCATATGCATATATATTGCATGATGCATATAAGGAGCAAACAAAACTCAACTTTTAATTCATTCTTTCCTTTTTGGTATACTGTTTGTTTGCTTTCAATATTTTGATTTCAAAGCACTTTAATTCCAAAGGCTGAATACCTAATCTTATTCCTTCATTTTTGAATATATACTCGCAGCTTAACTGCTTAGCTAGAGAATCAATCAATTCAATCTGATGCTCTTTCTGGTCTCAAGAAACCCAATATCCAGAAATTGGTAAGTTCCAAGGAGGTAGATGGAGGGGTAGAAGTACGAATCCTAACATCTAGTTTTGAGAGTATAGATTGAGGATCAAATGGTATTAGACCTGCTCTTCGAAAACCAGCTTTTATATTCTGAATAGTAATCGATTGTTGATATATAGTTTTGAAAGCTATAAAGAATTCAATCTTAGAAATATGATTGATATATACCTTGATAAACTCATCAATTTAACAACTATATAAATATTTGAATATGCTAAAACATTCAATATCAAGTGATTAAGTTAAGTGATTTGAATACAATAGTAACTTTATATATATAATGTTATTTGATTTATAATATAATTGAAAAGATATCGATTCATAACTTTCATATTTATCCAATATTAACATTCGATATTTACTCTTTCTTTATTAATTAGTATATTTATCGAAATACTTTAATTATTCTAAATCTATTTCATTATTCGTCCATCTATTAAAAATAGGTTTAATAACCCAATCCACAAGAAAATCAGTTTTGGTATATCAATTGGAAAGATGAACTTATCCTTGAACTATCAGAAATGAAGATATAGTTTCACTCTCTTCATTATTATATATAATTATTATAATCTATTCTCAATTGCTTGATTATATTACCTTATTTCTACTATTTCTTTTAAAATTAGTTACAATTATTCCAGGACATATTATACCCATCATAAAGCTGGTTTCATCGAAGTTATAGAAATCACAATCTTGAATACTTTATTTCGCCTGTATATTCGATATTAATCCAAATCACTTTTCAATAAGCTTAAGATTTTCATAAAGAGCTTTTTGAAAATCATAAATATAACTAAAACATATCTTTAATTTTATACAATACTTTATAAATCGATAAGTCTAAAGCTTTCCAATTCTCTTCGCACCTCTTGATTCGAGAATATAATTCGCTATATCTTCTATACCATTTAATTTAGATACAAATCCTCTTTCATCCATATTGATAATATACTGAATAAGCACCTCTTCTTCTTTTTCAGTTAAATTAAGATTATTTGCTCGAGTTTCCATTCTGTGAATTCGACCGCCCATTCTATCTTGTAATGTAGTTCGAGGGACTTTGTAGATTTTCGCAGCCTTTCCAACTGTAAGATTTTTTGATTTTTGAATAGCTTCAATAGCTAAGATTATTCTGGCCTCTTTTGATTATATTTCCATAATAATTCGTTGAAATATCGCGTCTTGAAATTGAATGATAAAAGATATTGAAAAAGTGGCGACTCGCTGATAGTGGCGACTCGCTGATAAACCATGTTATATAAAGCTATTAACGTGGTTTATCAGCGAGCGGGCCACTTTTACCTCAATTTATATCTTTCAACTTCAATACGCGATTTATCAACAATATATTATGGAATCGAATAATCAAGAAGGTCGAATACTTTTAGCTATCGAAGCTATCAATAAAGATCAAAAATTAAGCATTCGGAAGGCTGCTAAGCTATATAATATCCTGTGTACAAAGATTTAGCGCAGAATAGACGGTACTACCCTTTATATTGAATCTCGAGCAAATAGTCATAATTTGACCAAATTAGAAGAGGAAGTGCTTATCCAGTATATAATCGATATGGATGAGAGAGGGTTTGTATCTAAATTAAATGATATAGAAGATATAGCGAATTATATCCTCGAATCGTGGAGTGCAAAGAAGATTGGAAAGCTTTGGGCTTATCGCTTTATTAAACAATATCCAGAATTAAAGATATGTTTTAATTATATTTATAATTTTCAAAAAGCTCTTTATAAAGATCCCAAGCTTATTGAAGAATGATTTAGATTGATATCGAATATACAAGCGAAATATAGTATTGTCGATTCCGATTTCTACAATTTCGATGAAACCAGCTTCATAATAGATATAATATACTTTGGAATAATTATAACTAATATTGAACAAAATAGCAGAAGTAAAGCAATATAATCAAGCAATTGAGAATGGATTATAGCAATTATATATAATAATAAAGAAGATAAAACTATATCTTTATTTCTAGTAATTCAAGGACAAGTTCATCTTTCCAATTGATATACCAAAATCGATTTTCTTGTGGATTGGACTATTAAACTTATTTCCAATAGATAAATAAATAATAAAATAGATCTAGAATAATTAAAATATTTCGATAAATATATTATTTGTTAAAGAAAGAGCAAATATCGAATGTTAATATTAAATAAATACAAAAGCTATAAATCAATATCTTTTCAATTATATTATAAATCAAATAATATTATATACTTCAAATTACTATTATATTTAAGTTATTTAACTTAATCACTTGATGTTGGATATTTTGGTATATTTAAATGTTTATATAATTCTCAAATTAAGGAGTTTATTAAAGTATATATTAATTATATTATTAAAATTGAATTCTTTATAGCTTTCAAAGTTGTATATCAACAATCATTTATTATTCAGAATATGAAAGCTGGTTTTCGAAGAACAGGTCTAATATCATTTGATCCTCAATCTATACTTTCAAAACTAGATATTAGAATTCGTACTTCTACCCCTTCATCTACCTCCTTGGAACTTATCAACTTTTGGATCTCTCAAACCTCTTATAATCCAATTGAGGCTCTCTTACAATCAACTCTAATAAAAGCTCGAATAACTCATTATCAATCAAGCTCTCCTACATCTATATTTGAGATTGTACAAGCTTTAATTAAAGATACAAAGAGATTAGCATATGAAATTACACTTTTGAGTATTGAGAATCGTATACTTCGAAAAGCAAATGAAGTATTAAGTAAATGTCGACACACTAAAAAAATTCAATTATATAATGGAGGAGTATTTACTAAACAAGAAGCTGAAGATATATTATCACAACAAAAGATTGATAATCAGATTCAATGCGACGAGCATCAAAATGGGGGAAATTTTAATAGGGAATCATCTACTAGTCGATGCTGTAGTAAGTGTGGAAAGACTGGTCATAATTCAAGAACTTGTCAGAATAGTATAATAGATCCTAGATTATTAGATTCTTGATAGTTTCAATCAATTGATTTAATTGTTGTTAAATAATATGGGAGGAATTTGATTGAAGGATTGAAGGAATTGGATTGTGGTACGAATCTACAATTTGGTATTGGAACTGAGACACCGCGGGATCAGGGACCCGGGCTAGTGGAAAAAAACTAGACTTTATCATTCAATTGAGATATACTCTCTTTACGAAGGCAATCATGTAAACCCTGCCCTAGTACTTGTACTTAACTCCACTAGCTTAGCTAGATAACAACCCGGGGGTCTCCCCTGGGCGTCATTTGTCCAAATCTGGAATGTATGGCAACAGGTAGCACGTGCAAGCACGTGAGGCCTGCGGCCTATGACGATAAAAATATCATCATCATCATCATCATCATCGCTACTCTTGTTTTCCTTCTTCTTTTCTCCTTAGCTTAGTATTTTCTAATACAAGATACTTTACCCAGTATTCTTGAGTGTGACAGATCCTTGGATCTCTCAAACACCTCACAATCCAACTGAAGCTTTTTCTCAATCAACTTTAGTAAAATCTCGAATAAGTTATTATCAATCAAGCTCTCCTATATCTATATTCGAAATTGTATTAGCTTTAGCTAAAGGTACAGAGAGATTAGCATATGAGAATATATTTTTAAGTATAGAAAATCGTACACTTCGGAAGGCAAATGAGGCATTAAGCAAATATCGATATACAAAAAAGATTTAATTACGTCAAGAAGGAGTGCTTACTGGATAAGAGGCTTTTGATATATTATCTCAACAAGAGGTTAATGTTCAGATTCAATACGACGAGCATCAAAAGAGGGGGAATTCTAATAGGGAAGCATTTTCTAGTCGATGCTGTAGTACATATGGGAGAACTGGTCACAATTCAAGAATTTGTCAAAATAGTATAATAGACCCTAGATTATTAGATTCTTAATAGTTTCAATCAATTGATTGAGTAGTTGTTGAATAATACAAAATTGAAGTGGTTGAATGGTGAAAAAAGTGGCGACCCGGTGATATTGGCGACCCGATGATAAACCACGTTATATAATAAATTCTTTTCTAAAGCTTTAAGGAACCTATGCTTTTAGAGGCTTCATCACGTGATCCCTACTTGCCTCAAGACACTAATCCTGGGACGATTTGCAATCTAGGATAATATAGCTCGTAGGATAATTGTCCTGGGACAATTATTATCCTAGGACTTTTATTCTAGGATGAATACCATCCTAGGACACTTGTACTCATGCCTTTATGATTGCCTAACCGTTTATCCTAGGGTCGTTATTATCCTAGGACACTTGTCCTAGGATTCCTTATCGATAAGGGAACCGCGGGAAACAGCGGCCCAAACCCCGATACTTGGTTTTATTGTATAATATTAGTCGTGGTTCGTGACAATCACATTCTCACTTCGCTTATTTTAGGAGAAGAAAATGCATAATACAATCCGAGGTTACAACCTCGGATAAAGAGTTCTTTTTACAAGATTAGATTAATATCCAAATTGAAGAGGGCAGGGAATACTTTTTTTGAGATTGATCAGATCAGACTCTAGTATTGTAATACACTGAAAGTCTTACCTTATATTCTATATATCCTAATTACAAACACTAACTACACTACCCTGCTTTGCCATTGGTATTCTCTTTCTTTTTCCAAACCATGCATCCGACCATCCTCTAAACCATCCAACCATCTTCCAAACCACGTCCTCTCCCTCCCAAATAAACCATCCATTCAAATCCAACCAAGTGAATAGAATAAACCCAATCCCAATTCATAAATCATAACCAACCACGCAAACCATCCAACCCAAAAGCATTCCTTAAAATCCCAAATTCCTGCCATTTCCTTTCCAAAGACAAGAATCAAAGATACAAATCCGATGCTAAATGGTCGGATGGATATACAACTATTTGAACTCCAACTCCCTTGTTCCCAGCTCCATCAAATGTACTATCCTCCTACCCTATCCCATTATTACAAGAATTTTTAATCACCAAGCCATCCTTAATCTACCCACCAGAATATAAACATCTTCTTCTCCTTCACATCCTAAGAACGACCTCTTCATCATCTTCCATGACTTCTCCCTCTTGCAGGAGTAACACTACTAGCTGGTGCACTAATATCCCTCCTAGTTCCACCCTCCACCATTTGTTTTTTAGGTGTCATAGTAACATTTGCTAAACTTCTTGCTCTACCTCTTCTTTCACGAATCATTGCTAGAGCTTCTTCTCTTGACATTGTTGGGTTTAATGCTGGGTCATTTGTGTTGTTTGGAAGCGTACCAGAGGTTGGGGTGCTTGGAGTTATGGGGAATGTTTGATCTTCAGAGGAATCGGCAAGTGGGACGCGGGTTGTAGTTGAGATTGTGTGAAAGGTTGGTTCGTGGTGATGATGGTGATCGTGATGAGCTTGAGGATGGTGTATTGTGGTTGAAGTGGAATTATTTAAATCTTCAGCTTCTTCAGCCTCAGCTTCTGGAATATTGATAGGGCTTTGAAGTGATCTGCTGGTTTTTGGACTGGCTACTTCATCGAAGATTGAGAGAAGGGAGGTATTGCTATCAGAAATGAGAGCCGCAGATGGTGGATCGTGAGATGGCGTTACTTCTCTTTGTGAGTTGGTAGATTGATTCAATGGTTGTTGAAGATGCATATTAGTTTCGGAGTGAGAGTTTTCCATAGATGTTGAGAAAGACTCTTCAGGTACTGATTTAAAAATTCCTTCGGAAGGTATAAAAACAGTTCTCGGGGCTTTGGCTTGTCTTGTTGGATCATCATCAAGTTCCTGTGTATCTGTTGACTTTCTTTTGTTGGACTTTGGTTCGCATACATGTATGCTAGATTCCATTTCCAAAAACTCGACTTGATCAAGGGCTCGGTTTGCTCTTTGAATTTCCCATTCCAACTTCAATCTAAGATCATCGAGTTCTTCCTGACCTGCTCCAGATGGTGAAATTGTAAGGGAATCTATCGATCCTCTAATCTTCTTTGGTGATGTAAATTCGTCCTTGGTCGATTGTGGTAATGGTATTCGTCCTTCTGCTGCAATTCTGGCGATTTCTTCATTCTTAGCAATCATCTTGAATGCATCTCTTTCCTGTTCCACCAACTTGATCTTTTCTTGTAATCGTGTCAATTCTTCTTGCACTGTAGCAAGTTGATGTTTTGCTGAAAATGCTTCTTGTTCTCTCTTTACACTTCGACTCCTTTCCTGTTCTAAACCACCTTGAACCATTCTTAATGTATCTCTGGAAGCTTTGAGTTCTTCTTGAATCTTGACAACGACAGATTGTGATTTGAAACCTTCTTTTCGAACTTTCCGAATTTCTTTTTCCCATAATGCTTGTGTGTGTGAATGTGTTTCTTTGGCTCGTCCGTAATTTTCCTATAAGATGAGGGGTTAGCAAATATTCAACATGATGCGCATATTGATAACATACCATAACGTTTTCCAGTCTCTCTCCAACCTTTCTTTCCCGTTCCTTTCCTTCCTCAACCTGCCTTCGTAATATTCTAGCTTCATCCCTATATCGGCGCATCTCAGTCTCTGCTTCCTCTCTCCCCACCATGGCGCGCTTCAAAGCAGCATCATTTGTCTTTCTCTCCAGTTGCTTTCCCTGATAAGCCAAAGAGTTAAACTGAGCAATCTTATCATTGACGGAACTATCTCTTGAATGTTTGCTAGCTTTCGAGCCATTTTCACCGGTAGGAGATGTTGGTAAATCCCATTGTTTTTGTTGATTAACACGTTCGGGGGAAACTTGATGTAATGGTGTCCCTGGAGGACAATTCTCGGTAAGTTTTTTGGGTGAATCCATTTTGGAATTTGGTTTAACCAGAAATCTATTATAATTACAAAATGAATTTTTGTGTATGGAGTCTGGAAAGAATTGATTAAGTTGATGGAGAAATTGTTGTAAAGATGGTCCAAGTTTGGATTGTTTACTTTACTAGTGCTTATTTTGGTTTAGTGTGGTTACCCGGAGAACAACAAAAGTCAGATTTGAAATCCTGAAGTGGAACAGAAGAGACAGAAAGATAAAAAGATGGGATGAAAATATAGATGTGAAGTATTTATAGAGTGAAAGATTCAAAAATTCAAAAAAATGCATGAGGATGATATTTTTGAGATGAAGATGATACTTGAGGGTAAATTGGATAGTTGCATTTTTCCAGCACATATTTCTATCGTGAACATTTATCGAATTCGAGCCATCAATCACCACCAAAACATTTACCTGCATTGCATTTGATACTGTACAGTAGGGATGACGCTCCGCTAGGCTACTGCCGTGGGGGCTTTTTCGCTTCGCTCTAGAGTTATGATGATTTATTTTCTATTTCCTATTTTCTAATTCTCTTTCTAAATTGCTATTAGCGAACAAGGCCCCTGATAATAAATTCATAGTAATATTGAAGGTACACAGATCGTATTCTGTGATCTATCCGGACTCGCCGTTGTTGTGATCGTGTTCCTACGCGAAATATTCCGATATCTTTCCTACTCCAACTCTAACAACACAATTTGAGCTCCTGAATAGTCTGCCCCCACGGCAGTGGCCCCGGAGGGCCAGCGGAGCGACATCTCAATATAATGACCGATCCCATTCTTATTAACTGGGGCAAACCCTCAAAACCCCCATTTCCTCTCTGTCCTCGATTTTTCGGTGTACTTCTGATAACTTTATCAAGTTGCTTCACCTAGCCGATCTTTATTGTCCTAATACCGCTCAATTCAATCAAGCAAGCTCATCTCCCAGTTCAACTTGCTCTAGCATCACGAATTTCCTCTTCGGAATAGTCAAATATCCCCTCTCAAAGTACAATTTACACTCTCATTCATGAATCCACCATATGATCATTAAGTCCATTCGAAAAGGTTGCCCAAAGTGCCCCTCTCTCATTCAATTGACCAACCTCACTCGCCCTTTTATATAAAGTATCATCACATGCTGATCTTCCAGATGCGGCTTCTCTCTTGAAAAGATTCAAGTACTAATCAATCACCACTTTTCTATGCTTACTCATTGACTCGCCAAAAACCACAATACCCACAGAAGCATGACATTGCAGTTCAAGATACCAATAAAGCACACTAAATACTTCAAAAACAAGGAAGTCGCCCATGGATGAAAAAATGATGGAGATAAAAAGGAAAATTTGTGAAACTTCAATATGTTTTATAAAAGATTTTCCGTCTTTTACAGGAATTGCGAAAATGTCTATAGCTTTCGATGAACAAAAGCCGCTGAAAATGATAAAGTGTGTTGACCAGGCGCATAAATGTTTTTTCTAGAACCCTTGGTTCAGGATATTTCATTGGGCTGCAAAGCTCGGAAAGGATAGGGTGAAAGATTGTAGGCGAATGGGATTTGGGGTTTTGTATGGAGGGAGTGATGGTAGAGAGAAAAAAAGAAAGAAAAGAAAAGAAAAGGAGGAAAAGAAGAAAAAGACGCACAAATCATAAATCAGAGGGAATTGATCTATTAATTACAGTACGACTAAATAATTATTAAAAGAATCAATTAAAGATGAGATGAATAACAATAATAACTGTAGAAAGAATTAAATAATACCTATTGTATGCATTTCTTCATTTTTTCTTTCAACCATATCAATTCTTTGCTGTCAACAAGGTACGGAGTAGATGGACAGATATGGTAGTAGACGCCTCCATAAATACTACTGGAGGGCAAGTCAGTGGAGGCTCTTTTTCGTCCCGTTGTCCGTCAACCTACTTCCCTACTCCATAACATTTGTGGAGGGGAAGAATTAGAAAAATCCTCGCGTCCGTTCACCCGCTAAACCCAATCAGTCCCCAATTCCCACTTAGCGCACACTCTCGGTGGGTAATTTCGGAAGCTGTCCTTCTCACACTTCCACCATAAAATCTTTTTCCTTGGGCCAAAATATCAACTTCCCTTCTTCCCTTCTTCCCATTCTTCTTCTTTCACCAACATCCAACCTTAATACCATCTCCTCTCAATCATCAATACCGTCAATATGAGCAACTTACCACCAAAGAAGGAGTCCGTCATGGGCGTGTAAGTTTTATACTATTTTCTTTTCCATCTCTCTGTTCTCTATTTCCTTGTGATTGCGATCTGGGGAATATGGACTTTTTCGGAATGCCACATCAACAACGATGTCAACATCAACTTTGATCGAGCCATGAAAGAGTTCAATTGGATTATTGAAAGAATATAGGCATAGTTACTTTGACACATCAATATTCTCAAAGCTTTCCGTTGTTTGATCAGTGGCATTCCGTCCAAAAACTCCCTTCAACCCGCGCTCGCACAATCAATTTTCAAATCAATCATGATACTGACAATATTATTATAGTCCTCCTTTCATCATTGACTTCTTGAGTACGTTGATTCCAATGCTCCGAATCCAATACATATTACAATCCTTTTCGATGGTTTTCAAAGGCCCGATGGATTTTGGAGGATTTCTATCTAATTAACAGCATACTGATTTGTGCTATAGTGGGTGGTGTCTCCGCTGCCGTCTCCAAGACCGCTGCTGCTCCTATCGAGCGTGTCAAGCTCTTGATCCAAAACCAAGTATGTTTTTTTTTCCGGATATTTCTATTTATTCTTTTGGATACCTCAATTTGTACATGCATATGTACAGATCGCAGTAATGCATATTTTCCATTTCTTCCGATATCTAGTATCTTGGGAAATATCTGGAAAATCATTACCCTGAGAATAATTCTATCCCACATTTTATATTACACTTACTAATGTAATCTTCCTACAGGACGAGATGTTGAAGACTGGCCGTCTTGACCGCAAATACGATGGTATCGTTGAGTGCTTCAAGCGTACCACCGCACAAGAAGGTGTTGCCTCCTTATGGAGAGGTAACACTGCCAACGTTATCCGTTACTTCCCTACACAAGCCTTGAACTTCGCTTTCCGTGATACCTACAAGTCGATGTTCAACTTCAAGAAGGATCGTGATGGATACGCCAAGTGGATGGCCGGTAACTTGGCTTCCGGTGGTGTAAGTTTTTTTCTCCCCTCGATATATTCACATACAAATACTAATACCCACAAAAGGCTGCTGGTGCCACTTCCCTCCTCTTCGTCTACTCCCTCGATTACGCCCGTACTCGTCTTGCCAACGACAACAAGAACGCTAAGACTGGTGGTGACCGTCAATTCAACGGTTTGATTGATGTTTACAAGAAGACCCTCGCTTCCGATGGTATTGCCGGTCTCTACCGTGGTTTCGGTCCTTCCGTTGCTGGTATCGTCGTTTACCGTGGTCTTTACTTCGGTATGTACGACTCCATCAAGCCAGTCCTCCTTGTTGGACCTCTTGAGGGTAACTTCCTTGCTTCCTTCTTGCTCGGATGGACTGTCACCACTGGTGCCGGTATTGCTTCTTACCCATTGGACACCATCCGTCGTCGTATGATGATGACTTCTGGTGAGGCCGTCAAGTACAAGTCTTCTTTGGATGCTGGTCGTCAAATCATTGCCAAGGAGGGAGTTAAGTCTCTCTTCAAGGGTGCTGGTGCCAACATTCTCCGTGGTGTTGCAGGTGCTGGTGTCTTGTCCATCTACGATCAAATGCAAGTCTTGATGTTCGGAAAGGCATTCAAGTAAATGTATCTAGAATGGATTGAAGGGGATGGTTGATGTAGCAGTGGTTGATGATAATGCGAAATAAACGCCTGGGGTCGGTCGTGGTTGAAACTCGACAAGGTTGAAGTTGTACAGACATCCATTGCTATGGTGTTGGGGCAACTTGCAGTGATAGTTTGCCATAAAAAAGAAAAAGACAAACTAGTCGCTGCTGTACTTTATTACCTAAGCAATTTCCCTGTTCCCTTTTGATCTTGTCGTTTTGAAGTCTGGTCTCATTTGGCGCCTCTTTTTGTGTGGAAAAATTTCTTTTGCATGCTTATTTGGCTCAATAAATAGATTGTGAAGATGGATGGATGGGTGGAGTGTTAAAAGAATATGACATTTTATAAATATTTGCAGTTCATTTCGTATCGTATCTGTTGTCCTCCGTGAGATCATATTGTGGTGGTAGAGTGAGATGCTAAGACATCTGCATGTACATGCATGTGCTCGTGTGTGTACACGATAAATGTCTGAGGGTATTAAGTAATTGGAAGAATGGAAGGTAAGGCTAATGATATTGATCATAATAATGATAATGCAGAAGTTTATCTATCTAGTCTGGATGGGAGTCTGAATCTAGATCGAAGTCTAGATCTGGGTTCGGGATTTGGGTGGTTTGGGTTGAGTTTGCGATTGAGTTTGCGGTTGGGTATTTGTTTAAGGGGTTGAGTTTGGTGGATGGATGGGTAGGTTGAGGAATACTTGAGAATGATTAGGAATATTTGCGGAATATTTGCGGACTATTTGAGGAGTATTTGAGGAGTATTTGGGAAATATGAAAAGAATGGATGTAAGAGGATAGGAATTAGGGGATATGAGTTGGCGGATGATGGTAGTGGTGGTGGAGGGTTGAATAGGAGGATTGGATGAATAGGTGTATAGGGGAAAAGGGATACGGGGAGATAAAAGATGAAAGGAGTAGGAAAGAGAGGGGGTTTTTTGGGGGATTTAGTGATTGAGAGTGTGAGATGAAGAAGGGGAAAGAGCGAAAGGGAGGGAAGGGGGAGGAGAAGGGAAGGGGGAGGAGAAGGAAAGGTGGAGGAGAAGGGAGTGGAGTGGAGAGAGTTAGGAGAAGATGATGGGGATAAGGATGGGGATAAGGATGTGTGGAGGATGATCTGTAGATAATTAGGAGATTTACTGAATATGTGTGTTGGGTAAGGTTTTGGGTTTTGATTGAGAGATCGATAAGGTGAGAGTTGGGGAGGGATATAAAGAGATTGATAAGGTGGGAGTTGGGGAGGGGTATAAAGAGATTGAGAAGTGGAGATATGTAGAGGGTGGTATAGATAGGGAAGGGAATGGAGAAGGGAGGCGAGAAAAGGATTGAGGGTGAAGTTGATCATGGTGATTGCAGTGATAGATACGAATATGTATATAAATATGGATATGGATATAAAGGTTCAACGGTGAAATTGATAACAATAATAAAAATAAAGGATGAATAAATTTCATTATTAATATCAATTTCGGTTAAATGATGTTCTTACGGGTAAATATTTGGAATTTGTATATGATGATTGTGATTATCGTGACAGAAAGGAGGGGAATAGAATAAGTATTTGGGATTGGGATTGAGAAAACGGGAAGGAATGTTTTGATTGTAGGTCCCTAGATCCTAGGAGAATTTAGATTATTGAAGATTTTGATAGTGAAAAAGAATGAAGTTGTTGCGAGGATGAGGATAGAAATATAAAATTAATAGTGTTGTTGGGAGATAGTGGGAGACATTGAAAAGGGAATAAAAGTGGTGA